GTCACTTGCCTATCTCCACTGAGGTTCCGGGTTCGATTCATCATAGGGTCCCCGTATAACCTCATGTGAAATTTGTTTCGACTAGTTTGCCAGCTTCACAAGGGGCTAGTTCAATCCCTGTGAAGCGTCCTTACCCCTATCCTTATTCCTTCGCATTTCTGTCCAATGGGTTGAAGACGCTACCTGTCGGCGATTCCCTGACTTGACTGTGACTGACGTGACTTGAAACGCAGCGGCTCCTAGAGGGTGCTTATTAACGGAGGATTACTCCAGTGCGCTCAACGCTCCTTATGGAGTTTGGAGACGCATTCCGATATAGACAGAACAAAAAAACATTCGCTCTTCGAACACTCCTCGTATAACAACACATTTTATATTAAAGAAACTTGAAAACATTATGTATACAAAAAGTAACTTCAGTTGGGTTTCATAGGCAGCAATCACGTAAATCTTTCAACTATTTTCCTCTCAATGGACGTTAAAATTATACATTCCCCTTAATTTTAATTGTTCGGGCTAGAGAACGTAGTTTTTGAAAAAAAAAAAATCGTCAAATAGCTAAGTCGGCACGTAGGGTCGACTATCACCATCAACCTCTTGGGCGTAATATTTTCGACACGAAATATTACGTTTCCATAGCGTACGTATACGAGTGGTAAAAAAAATCGTATTCTTCTCGGTTAGATGAACATATGTTTCTTCCCTGATATTTTGCTGGGTTTATTGACCGACTGGTGTTTTCGTACGCGTCAACTGCTAAGGTCATTAGTCTTGAAAGTGTAGTGATGTTTTATCATGAGAGTTGGCGGTGATCTTACCCCGCTAGATGAGATCCGGACACCGCCCCAACCGGGCAAGCGCTAAGCTCCCGACAAGGGCCCCGGCGTGCGTGGTAGTGTAGTGTATGTGTGTATAGTAGGGCGAGGATATGACACCCAAAAAGAAAGGAAAGATCACGCGCGATCCCTAACCCGGTTGTTATGGTACTGCTCCGGTACAATTCCCAGTCGAGCCTAGACTATAGTGTGCGTTTTCTTTGCAATGTCCCAGTACATGTTGCTGTGTGACGATGAGAAAATTCACTTCTCAGATTGAGAAGACCGGAATAAGGCATGGTCTACCATACGTACCCTCTTAACCCATGACCGCGAGGCAGGGACGTCACCGGTAGGCCTGAGCCCATTCACGGGCTGTCGCGCCAGGTACATACATACGAATACATCGTATAAATGGTACATAATACACTAAATGTTAAAAATAATATTTCTTGCCTTGTGGATGCTCGGTATAGTCTATCATTGTGCAGAAACATTTGTACAAAAAAAAATATTCTTCTTGAGACTTAAACTTTTGTATCGAATTTAATAGTTTAATGTCATATGGCACGGTGTAAAATAACGTACATGTATTTTATGTGAAATTTTTGTAGTGAGCTGTTGATACTGTCACCTGATAAATATGATTTCTACGTCGAGTGCTGTAGTTATAGACATCAGCGTTTTCTGACAATATATTCCCGTCCTTAAGTAAGCCATTTTTGACAAAAACAACTGATTCGTATATGAAGAGAAAAGGTAATGGTAAGATACCCAGATTAATAAAGAGATTCTTTCAAGAATCACGTGGGTGGGATTTGCTTATTATTCGTACAATTATTTTTGTAATCTAAAAGTCTGTGAGCTACAAGATGTTTTCCCCAGAATATTATGCCATATCTCAGGCGAGAATGAACATTCGCAAAATATACACAACGAGCAGTATGGAGGCTGACCGAATTTGAAAGAATTCTGAAAGCGAAGCATAAAGAACTTAATTTAGTGTTCAATTCATTCAAATGGACGTTCCATTTAAGGTTTGACTCAACTGAAAGATCTAAAAATTGTTACCTTACCATCAGTCAATGGCGCAGCGTTAATTTTCAATGGAATACAGAGCTGTTTATTTCAAATGGAAAACTGCATTGAAAATAGTAAATGAAATCAAAACGATAATTTGATATTATGAAAACAATTTGAACGTATTGTTTAAATAACAACAGTCGGGTGACATTCATAGTTTTACACGGACATTAGGCTCATAAATTACACAACAGCAGGACCCAGAACATCCCCTTTTGGAGAAGGTGGCGGCACCATACACATCAACCTAGAAGACATTCCGTAAGCTTACGAACTTTATCAAAGCCGTACGGTCAAATAATGTTGAAAGCCCATAGAATCATGAATTAATAACATATTACTAGAATATTACAATAAATGTTATTTGTTGCGAGAAAAAATGGTGATATTTCATTGGATTGCCATCAATTCAGTAAGTAGTAAATTCGACAGAAGTTCCAGGAATCGTGATTTCTGTACAGAGTCACACGTCCACGGGCAACAGGTAAGGTGATGTATGTTGTGCGTCCAACTCATGCAAGATCTTTTCTTTTTTGAACAGGAGAGCAAGTCGTAAAATGAAATGAAAGCGTTGGAAAAAATTATATTTATAGTTTGTATAAACATCATTGTAAACCGCGTTCCATGACTCTTGCAGCAAGAAATTGATGAATAATTTTATTTTACTTTTAGTAAACAATCTACGTGTATTATTTATTGTGTCACTGCACATTTCTTATAATGGTAAGAATTTGTGCATCGTGATGACTGTATACTAAATGTTTTGTTTCAATTTCATATCGAGTAATGCTTTTGTTAATTATTTGATCGATTGCCTTCTTTGAATTTAGTGTGATTGGTGTAGGTACATTTATTGTAATATCTAAACTGCAGGAATGAATTAAGTTGAGTGACTGCTCTTACTCGCAAGATTCGACCATGACGCATTAAGGGGGAAGTTAGGGCGTCAACTACTAAAGTCATTAGTCCCGTACGTGTAGTCCGTGTTTTGCCACGTGTCGGGAGGTGGCGGTTGTCTTTCCCCGCTAGATGGCAACATCTGACGCCAACCTACCGCCAGCTGGCGGGGTTTTCCCTAACCAGGTATCTCCCACCAGCGTGTCACCGCCCCAGCCAGGATAAGCTCTAAGCTCCCGACCGGTTTCCCGGTATGTGTGGTAGTGTAGTGCATTTTTGTGTGTGTGTAGGGGGTGAGGATAGGACACGGAGGAGGTACGAACGATAGCGCGTGGTCCGTTTGTTAGGGTACCGCTCCGACATTCGTCTGGTGTTGATAGGACAAACCACGGAAAACCACCGATCAGAGCAGCCGGCCGCTAGAATTCTCCTCCAGGTAGCGACTGAAATGGACCTAGGTAGTGTCGAAAATCCTGTCACCATCGGGACTAGAACCAGTTGCGTAACGTTCGGGCCCGCAATACGGGCTGGCCCGAGTAAACGAGGGCCCATTTTCAGGGATAATTTTTTTTTTATTTAAGGTACTAACACTACTTGTGTAAGCTTTACACTTTTATAAAGGGGCCGGGTAAATCTTTTGCGGGCGGGCCCGCAATCATTTTGTTACGTTACTGACTCGAACTTAGGACCTTCCGGTCAGAGGGACTGCAGCGACATCAGTTGATGTCCTGAGCCATCTCTTCTGTTTGTTATTAATATTTTGTAACAAATATAACATTACAAAATCAAAATTAGATGAACCTATAATATGCTTCATGGTTCAAAAAACATTCTATTTGGTACTCGTATATATTTGCAGTTACACGAAGCAAATTTTCATTTAATTTCATGGATTTTGAGAGTCAAACCAAGGATGCAGCCGGGCCAACATGGCGGCTTTCTCATACTAACGTTTTTCTAAATTTTGATTTGTTATTGAGGATATTATTCGAAATAAAAAAAAATCACATTTTTTCCTTTAGAATTAGTTTGACGTATACACACGTTTTCGCCTAAAATAACTGGTCTAGATAGTTGAGCTCAGTTGTCAATTTCTGGTAGTGTCATGTGGAATAAAATGCACTCGAATTCGATCCTACAGATGTAGCGTTTTTACGAATATTATTATGGCCTGTTGTAACATCAACACGTATTGAGATTTTGCACATATTTAATGTTAAACAACATGAAGATAAAAACATACACTCAATAAAATATAAATTATATTTTGGCAGAAATATTCTTAGCACTTCGATACATTCAAATATATTAGTTGTACAGAATTCACAAATAATTTATGACAATTAAAAACAAACAAGTCGATATGATGCAACGGTATTGGGGCAAATGCCTCTCAGAGGTCGGAGAACAAAGGTAACACATCTTCAAAATCTGCAACTTGCGAGCAAAGATCGGACGTGAGTTGAGGTGAAGATGCCAATGAGGAATACGAAATTAATGGCAACAAACATATGAGAAATATCTCTCCACCACATTGTCATTACTACCTCGTCAAACCTCTTGGCCCTTCTTCATTTCTTTCGTTTCCCACTTCCAGTTCCGAAGCCAACCCTCGCTGACACCGCGGGATATCTCGTACGCTTAGGGATCACGCAACGCAACTGCTTTGGAAGACGAACGCACCCATCCACTAAAAACTAACTTTAAAAATAAATTCAAACTTCTTCGTGGCTTTAACCCCTCCCTCCCTCACAGAAGTCGCGAAGAAGAAAGTGAATACTTACTGCATTTCCCGTGTGTATTCAGTGAAAATTCTGCATCCGAAATCAATAATATTATTTTATTCTCCAAACTGCCTTCTAAGATTGAGCTGTTCTCGAGAAGACGATATACAATGTAAAAGCATGGAAAGGAGGGGGATGAACTGAAATATCATCCCGCGAAATGCTTTCTGTACGCACCCTGATGAAATGAGTTTTCTATAAAACTTATAGAATACGTCAGAAGGAATGTCATACTTCTCAAACGTATTTTTGAAACAATTTTAAAAAAATATTACATTCTTGGGAATTACCGAGTTAATATGACTCTTAAAATACAGCTATGTATGATATTCGTTGAATGTTTTAAAATGTTTTCAGATATGACACACTGCACTTTAAAGTTTCTTCTCAACATGTGATGTTGCTGAATAGTTCCAAACATTTCATTTGGCATTACATTTTTTCTATTTTTTTTTTTTTTTTGGAACTCCTCCCCATGAGTAAGTCTTGTTGTTCCCCAGTACCTGAATATTATCACCTGATACCATAACATTAATTCCCACCAAGACCTAATGCTGGGCAATGGTAATTGATTTAGGGAAAATAAATTTGAACTATGATCAATTATCATACTTCTCAAATTTATTTCCATTTATTGACAATGATGTGTGTTGTATTCAATACACCATAACAATTGTTACAATATGTATTATACTGAATGTCAAGACTAGTACATTTTATTAATATATTAATGTAATAACATATAAAGAAAAATACTATGGTGTACAAAAACATATACTTTATAACAAGCATACAGTAATAATAGTTCAGATCATTTTCACATTTCAAGGTAACTTTAAATAACATTTTAAATATCTACCATATATTATAGTTAAATGTGTTCCTTTATGTACATTTTTTTACATTTTAATCAGTGATATTAGTATGTCAATTTTGCAGTGTTTTTTCAGACTTGATAAGTTGTGACTAAGCATAAAAGTTATTCAAATTACCACTAAAAAATATAAAATGTACATAAAATTTTACAAGGCTATGTACACATTTTCATACCATACATTTACACATGATATATTAATTTCATATAATCATAATATATTAAACAATAAATTGCACTCACTGCACTCATTGCACCATTGTCTTCCATGAAAATAAAATAAAATTATGACATTCCAATGAATACTATCTGAATAAAACATATTTCAAACATATGAAAGTTCATATATTATCTTCTTTCACTTGTACACTTCTGTTATTTATTCCAAGAAATATATGATACATGTTTTTAATCACAGAAAACTTAAAGAAAATCATGCAATGGCAATCACCTTATATTATAAAATATTTTATTGTATTTAAAATTTTCTAATATTATATATTAATATTGTTGAACAAAATATCACATTTTCTTTTTCTTTTAATTATTCAAGTGAAAAAATCTTTCATACAAATTTGTTTTTCTTGTCCCCAATGATTACATAGTTTCATAAAGCAAAGAAGAATTTTCGGAAATTAAACATTTAACATAAATTTATTCTTGAAGTTTTTTCTGTGAGAATAGAAGGTTAGGCTATGATATATTTGAGTAAACATGTGAAGAAATCAACATTTTTATAATTTAAAAAATGTTCATCAATATTTAATAGAAGTTTAGTAAAGTTCAAGAAGATTTTCTGCGATTCATTGAGTCTCCTCAACGCATAATTTCGAAGAAGAATCTTTATGCTACAATACTTGGTGAGACGAGATAGTTAGGTTGGGGAGGGGTTGGGGAGGGGCGGGGGGAGAAACGGGGGGGGATTCCGGAGAAGTTAAGAGGAACTAAGGTACAATAAAGTCATGTCAAGGCATTTCGCTCTAGGACTGCAATAGTGGCACTACTCAAAAAATACATATTTTGAATTAATGCACTCTCCAGAATTGCAGATTGGTCTACCTTTCAGCAGCATAACTTACAGTTCAGTATTCTACCAACAAATGGCAGCAGTGTGAAAGCAAGAATGATGAATTTTAATGAAAACTTCAAACTCCTTTATCTCAACACATGAGTTTTGGAGCTGCGGCACTATTGGAACCCATGAACGATATATTGGACAATTGCTTTAAAAATAGTTCAAAGGGAATCCTTAATATCTCTTGCAAATCAAACATCTCCGCAAATTCTTCTCCCACAAACTAATAATCATCGCATGGTTATTCCCACACTTTCGTTGTGCACAATATTGTGTTTAAGAAGAAATTTGAAACCTGTTCCTTCACAGAAACAAATTTAGGAAGAAACCACGAAATTTAAAAGGCCATTGTCACGAAAGTTCACTTACATAGGCATATTCAAAACCCCACATGCCCCTGTTCCCGCGGATTGCCGTCTGTTCTTCGCTTTCGTTCTCTGATTCACGCGGCCTTCGAAATCAATTCTCAACGGAGGCAGGTGAAGGGATAAGGTCCGGTCATTCTCTTCAATGAAAGCAGCCAAGAAAGAAAGACGTGTGCTCCATCCTGCTCTCATGTGAGTCAAACGGGCTTACCTCCCAGGAGCACTTCTCAATGTTCTACCAGGTTTTTAAGAGAGACTCAATTCAGAAGGATGATTTCACAATTTATACGAGGCAAACACAAGAGGTTTTCAAGCTGCATGCACTAGCGCGAAGGCAGCTACTTTTACGCTAGATCCGAGGATTAGGATGTCTTACGTTTTTATAATATTTTGTTTTCGATGAAGCAACATACCTTTGAGATACTTTTCAAATTACAAATTCCTTTCAGTAATCATGAACACAATTTTTCATAACAAAGATCGTTGTACAATAACAAAATCGGCATATATTCACAAGATATGGTTTAAATCCGAAGAATTAAATGCAATGGAACTAGAACGGTTGTTTAAACAGATACAGCCATGTTGACACATTCTCCGGCTAGGCATCGCACCGAGTCCGAAGGTACACGGTCCGGTTATAATACTTGCTAATTTACTTATACTTGTTTTGGAAAGTTAAATTGTGTTTTTTTATTTCGTTGCCATGAACCTTGTCAACTTTAACATATTTTATGAAAGAGGTCAGCGTTACATTACGCATAATTACCGCCATAAGAGACCGAACTAAAAACTGTACCTTCAACACGCAACCGAGTTGTACCCGGCAACTTCAAAGCAACATGATTCAAGGGACAATGGAGGTCAGCAATTTCGGAAGACTTCAGATGATGCCAATTTTCACCCTAAGAGATCTACCGCATAGTCACCTTACTTGAACTATGCTTAACTGACCCACTTTTCTTCGTACTGAAAATATATTAACTGGTGGAACGCGAAAAAATGTCGATAAGAGTAATTGGTCATAGATTACTGGTTTAAAAAGAGAACACCATCCAGCGAATGCCACATAATAATGAAGACGAAAAGAATTTCGAAGCTCCAAGACCTTTTCGAACCAGACGATATGGTAGGTGTTGCCTATTCCACGTCTGTGACACTGAGGGAAATAATATACAAGCCGTTTAACAAGAGACATCTCACACCAGATCCACCTAGAGCAGTGCACTACGGGATGAGCAGGCTATGTTTTTTAGTAGTTTTGGAGTTAAAAAGTATTAACACCTTGTCATCATATACTTGAAGATATTAACATGCGCGAATTTTTCAAAACGAGACAGCAGAGGGCGGACAACTTATCTTTCGCCAATGATGACGAAGCGGTGACTCAAACCTACGCCGGCCAAGGACTGTGCAACCAACCCGCAATTCGCGGCCGGCGCGGCATGTCATTATAAAAGCCGTAATCCTGATAACGCAGTGCCCCGAGAGCGCTTGAAGAGAACAGAAGTGATGAACAATTTATTTTCAGCTGAGAACCTGACATTCGTTGTATGTAGGTATGCCAATAAACGCCCTAAGACGTTTGTTACTAAATTTCCGAGCGCCGAAATTTCCCAACTGTCGACCATATTAATATTAAAAGCTTGTTAAGAAATATATCGTGAAACACAAGAAACTCTCATTCGGAGATACAGCTTGGCCGTCCGACTAAAGAGAAAATCTTCGCAATCTCGCGTGCTTTGCTTCAAAGAGTAAATCAAAATATGTTCTGGGAGAGCCAAGAACGCATTCGACCCGATCGATAGACGCCACTTGAAGCATCTTCTCACGATTATGGACCTGCGGCGGAAGTGGCCCGGATCTCAGCACGTGGGCTGATGCAGCACTTCGCTCAGAACAGACGCCTCGCCTCCCTGGGCCTCGGCTCTTTCCGGTTTTTCGGCGACCAATAAATTCTGCACATTACATAAATAAATTGATAATTTTAATATTTATATTATAAAATTAAAATAGAAGTGTATCTATGCATAACAAATCTATCAGAACTATACATCCCACCATAACCATTTTAAAATAATTACAATAACTATGATATTTTATCTTACATTCGTGCGGTTTTTGTGATTGAGTTGGTTGTAGTATATATCTCTTTAGTGGACTTGAAAAAGGGTGACCAATTGCAAAACATTGTGTCGTCAAGCTTGTAAACAACGCTATACCCTACACTTCGTGTGCGATTTTAAACCCGCAAGACCTAAAAGAAACAAAAACTTCTTACTTCACAGTTAACAAGCAAGTTTTAACATCGCTGGAATAGACAGCAATTTCAGTACATGCGTACTGCACCCAACAATGGTCTATTGTTCCGTACAGCTCATTCCGACATGGCTGGCAACTTATCACAGTTTGAGATAACTAAATCCCAAGGGTCGAAGCCATGATGTTATGGATTTCTGGAATTATCCAAACTCGTACAAGAAACCAGGTCGCGTGAAGCAGCTCGAACCAGAGAGAATTAAAGCCATTATGTTGCGAACGATACTACATGTATAGTCAATGTATCCCTGCAAACATGAGCATGTAATTCTGGCATGCCTGCTATGATACATTCCAAAGACAGTCGTTGGTGGAATCAGGGAATGACAAAAGGGCATATCATTAAATGATTCATATTATTATATCAAATTCTAAGGGATGATCTAAAGAAGAATAACAAAAAGGTCTGATATGGGAGAATAAATTCTAACTATGCACACAGACAAAGTACGAGAAATATAATTTGATGTATGTTTTATTTGAACATCCTGTGATAAAAATGCTAATTTCTTCACACGAATTTTCAATAAGTAAAAACCAATAAATTATAGTGTATCAAAAACTGTTCCTCGTATCGTTATGGTGAAATTTAAAACGCCAATGCGGGGAGGCATCGACATTCAAAATTTATTGTTCAAAATAGGTGTGCGAGGGGGCGAGATTACCCCTTGCAGGAGATTTCGATTTAATACAAGTTTTTCAAAAGACAAAATATATACTCATATTGTCATAATTTGGGTCAAGTTTCTTCGGTCAATTAACACAAAATTGAGAAATCATCCGATTAAGCCAGTATCAAGCCTCAATTTCACATTTTACATTCTGCCCCACCTGAACCATTTGATTGCCAATATTACGAATTTTCAGTGATTTAAAGTAGTATCCACAGACATCACAATATCTTCATGTTGAACCATTAAGAAGACATTCTTACTAATCATGCAAGGGATTCCTGTATTCTCCACGCTGGAAAAACAAAAATTAAAATTAGTACAGTTTTTACACCAAAGAAGAGATAAAATAAAGTAATTGGTGCATTAAATGCGTTTTTAATATATGTAATACGAATGATGTAAAGGGAATATTTTATCCATTCCTGCCAAAAAACGCTCGTTTTCATCTGTATTCAGAATTAAACTTGTATGTGGATTAGGGTAGAGATCCTAGAATATAAGAAAACGTGCACATCTCCGCATAGTACGTCACACAAAGTTTTAACTGCTTTTGACGTTAAATAAATAATTAAAAAGTGCACATCTACCGTATTCCCATTTTAGCCGATTATGTCCACATTATCCAAAATGAGTAGATAATTTGTAACGCATGTTTACGTCAAAATATTCCTTGCTAGCACACATGACGCCTCACACTCCGCCATTAACTTTATATAGCGCCCTGTGGCGGATACCAACATTAGCTAGATGAAGTCCAAAACGATTCGTCTATCGCAGTTTCTTCCCTGATGTTTGGCTAAATTTCCGATTTAATCGGGGACTCCTCACATAAGCGATTGTTCGGTCATTAGATTGATTCACTATTGCAATGCCTTAGCACGGCGAATCAATCACTTCACAAATGTAACCAGATTGTCTGGTAAGAATACTAACCCAACCCAAAACCAACCTAAGCTAACCTAAGCTGCCGAATACGTTAGTGTGCCCATGTCGCGAAAAAATATCTTTATAACACTAATTAAAAAATGCAATACCACACAGAAAATTTGTTTAAAACAAATATTGGTGCAACATTGAATACGTATTAGTTTCATATATCGCTGTACTAGAAGAATATTGTTGTAAATTCAAATTTCTGTAAATTTGTCTTACCTGCACGAATAGAACCAGAAGCAGCAAGTGCAAATGAGAGAACATTAACGCAAATATAGAAACTGCATTTGATTCTATCTGATGCATCTTGTGTATCTGATTCTATTGGTTCTATCCGTGCTGTTAAGCCAATTTTACAAAATTTTATAGTTGCGTCAATGTTCATTTGGAACAACGAAATATGAAATTAATTGAGATACGTTTTTGTCTAGAAGAGGTACACAACACTATTCATTCCACAGTAGCCTGGTATAAAGGAGAATTCTGAATTAGGACCCCTGTCTTTAGCATGATCCTTTACATTTTGCTGCTGAGTGTAGTTTTGTACCAGGCTATCGCTGCAAATTTCCCGATTTTCGAATTATTTCTGCGTGGACCATTGAACAACTTGAGATAAGTATTCCCTCTTTCCCCTTGTTTACTATGGTTTATAACTTAAATATTATCTATTATTTTAAAAAGTGCAGCTGGATGTTCCAACAACCTTTTGTTTAATACATTTCGTTGTTCGTTCCCAGTAATCCAGTTTAAGACAACTAGTTGTTTTGTTAATTTGTTAGAGTATTTTTGATTACATCTCATTTTAACCTCTCGGTTCTTTTCACGATTGATTGAGTATTGAGGATTAAAGAAGCTTCAACATCTTAAGTCATTGTCGCCCTGTCAAATGCAGAAAAAATTGAAGGCCACGACCGCGAAATTCCAAATTGCAGGCCCAGTAGGTAACGACAACAAACTGGTTTCACATATATAGTAGGAGAAACCACAGGTGTATTTCCGTGAAGTGATGTTCTGTTCTGAAGACTGTTCGCCTCCCACCCTCTGTACCCACCTTTGTCGGCTTGGTGTAACGGTTAGCGTATCGATGTTCAACCCATATTTGTGGGTTCAAACGCGATCGAAGCCCTGAATTTTTAAGGGCGAAAAACCCTTCGTACGCCTTACAACGGAGAGGAAATAAAATCCGCCGTCCGATGTTATAGATTTACTATTTTAAAAATACCATCAAGTCTAAAAGAAGCGTCTGAGCTAAATTCAAATTGCGTCTGGTGGCTTGATGTGATGGTGAAGGGAGTATCGAAATTTGCGAGGTCAGACGGAAGAGTAGGCCTGATGGCCTGAGTCTCACCGCGTAAAATTCTTTCTACTTTCGTCCTTCTACACGCCACCTAAAATAAGGCATCACTGAATTGAATTGTGTATTTGGGAATATACCCCGGTCGATCCATGTGACATTTATGGTGCACAAAACAGGTTCACTGGGGATTCTTCCCTAACTGAGAGGCAGGTGGCCTCTCAGTTCACCGTTACTAATTCATCATTCACATCATGGCACCATTAAAATCTCATTCATCAGATCATTCATCTTAGGTATGGCCAAAAAGGCTACCTTCTGAGGACCATAAAAAGATTCAGAAATCCTAATATACCTCATACCCAAACGAATATTTGAGCTTAGAAATAGAAATCAGTGTGTGCGCATTAAACAAGCGCATTCTTCGCAACATCGTATTAGTATCTAAAACCGAAGTAGTTAAGTTCCGTATTGGTATCTCGAATGATCATTTTAAACACTACATAACAGAGCAAAGTAAGCATCATTTAAATAATTAAGTTTGTGATCACTTGAAGATGTGTATATCGTTTTAGTTACTAAGATATTTTCATTACGACAACACTGCAAACAACTTACCTCTTAATAGTGTGTCACGGCAAAGGTTTCCTGCGCACTTCCCGTCGGACGACGAGGTTTATCTATCCGTGAAAACGTTTGCTGGCGTTAGCCTGTTGCTACTTCTCAGTTCTTCAACTATGTAACTCAGTTTAAGTTGTCATTTCCGGAGGCACGCCGTTATAAAACAATCCGGCAGTTGCACAAACTATTGCACTTACAGATATACAAGAAACTATATACTTTATCTATCGTTAAGTGGCATATTTAAATGATATTTTATTACAATAAAAAGCATTCTTTAACCACTCGCCAAACGGAATTACGTTTAACTTTAAAATACTCTCGTCATTCCAAGGAAGTATTATTAGGTAATTGGTACGAAAATCCACGTCAATAGGTTATTAAGGCGTTCCAAAATTAAATCAAGACATTCGAAATGATTCAAAGAAAATGCCCATGAAGGAGACACGTAAATTACAAGTATTTGGCATTGTTGTAGACAGTCATGTCTTTGGCTAAAAGGTCAAGATTTTGACCGACATTCTTGCAATCTTCTTCCTGGCAGAATGTATTTTGCCTTTAAGTCAAGGACGAAGACATTCTGGCATAGAAGACAAATACATGGACTCACGCCGCGAAAGTCTGCAACTCAGATTCTGACCAAGTTCACAAACTACATATCCCATAATTGTTATATTAGAATATTTATTAAACGGTACGTACATGAAAAAGGAAACGTCTCGTCTTTTACAAAAAGTTCTCAGACTTTATGCATTCCTTTCGTAGTGTAAAGGGAAGTGCTAAGACGCCCCTAGTTCCACTGAAATAAAGGAAGTACATTTGAAAAGAAACTCGCTTCAACTCACTTCAGTGGATGGATCCCAATACAAGGTATCTGTGCTAAGAGACGTGGAGTAGGACGCAGCACTGCTCTCGCATCCCGCGCCCCCGGGGGCGGTGCAGCTTAGTTCGCTGGAGGTACAGGAGTGCAAACTGCACTGGCTCACGAGCCCGGCGCCGAAATTGAAGTAGCGATGCACTCGGGGGTGCGGAGGCTGCGCGGGGTGAGCTGCCATCTGACAATTGTCTGTCTGGGAAGACACATTTTGCCCACTTCGTACGCCGTTCTCTTTCCAACCTGAAATGGTACGAGAAAACAAATTAATGAAATACACAAGTTTCATTCAACTGCAATTCAACTTAATAATCGGAAAAATTCTCATCAATATAGAAGGAAGGGCAAATTTTCACGTGCTTTGTATATATCCGGTTATGTTTTTGTAGAATTAGCAAATTTAAACATGTTATTATGTATTGCCTTCCAATTTTACCAAGAAGAAATACTTACAAGAAATTGTTTCCCTGTTTTAGAACGGAAAATATGGACAAAACAAAACAAATCGTTTATTAAATACCAACTGATAGTTATCCCATAAAAATATGTAATTTTATGTAAACTTATATACCTGTATTCGTGAATGTAGCCATTTTACAATTGTATAAGTTACTATTTCATACATTTTGAATGTTTTTTTTAAATTTTTTTATCCACAAATCGTATATTTGATGAACGTTACAGTAGCAGACGATGGTAATGAAATCAGTTTAACCGAAATTAATTGAAGTCGTAACCGATGTTAATTGAACAGAACATGTAATTTTATAATAAAAAACTGTCTTTAATAAAAGGGATCTTTTAAATCTCGGATAATAAATGACACCTAAATAAACATGTATATATTAATTAGCATAACAATTTTATCTTTGAAACCTAATTTGAACTTCTAAGTAAATATTATTTGATACAGATTTCAAAAACAACAATATCAACCGACTTTCTGGAACATTATTAGAGGATTGGATAGTAATAACGTCTGCGATAAACAAGTGTATAAAAGACACAGGCAAAACGGTAACGGCAGATAATATTCAAGTTGAAACAGTGAATAAACGTTGAGCCAGGCGAAACCTACCAATATTTAAGCATTATAAAATGTTCTATCTCGAACGACACGCCAAAGAAGAGAATGTAAGGGGAAAATTACAGAACTTTAATATTCGGCCAACTGTCTCCTTTAAACTCGAGAATCAAATGTTCCACAATAGGTGGTTTGGGGAAACATAAGGCTGAGAAGACGCTCGGACTGGCGAGCTAGACAGAGCAAGAAATTCGAACAATGATCCGAAAAAACAAAACGCTGCAAACAATTTGTCACCCAGCCGTAAGCGGATTAACAAAGATCTTATGTCATATACAAAGGAGGAAAAGAGCTCTGACAAATTGAAGGCTCCCGGTGGAATGCAATAGTGGCAATGGAAATGTATGTGGTCAAGATGACGCACTTATAAGGCAACAGTCGGGTCAATATTTATCGGAGCTCTGGGATTTGTTCCTCAAAATCTAGGTAAGAACTTCTCCAAACTAATAGATCATTCAAGTCTGGGAAGTGTAAGATATCGCATGTGACGAGGTAGTGAAATGTAGTCAGCCCAAGTCTAAACATACGGTACTTAGCAGAAGAAAATCGATAGCAGAACAAATTCCTGATGTCATAGGAAATGTAGTTGTACTTTCGATAGAATTATTCAAATGACGAAAGTTTAAAACCATCTGATACCCCTGACAATGATGACGTTCTTGTGCAATATCAACTTACTACTTCGATCGAACAATTAACATGACGAACACGTAAAACCTGTAAACGATGGTCCTGTTGAAGATTCATCTCTTTCCAATGAACATTCGTCAGTGGTGAAAATTCATCTGTCAATGAATCACATGATAAGGACATGACGTGAAATCTTCTTCGACGCGAAACAGAAAGAGTTCATCAACTTCCTTTCAAATCCCGTGCTCCGTTGAAAAGAATATACGAAAATGCGAAAGCTAAGATTGACAGAAACAGAGCGCTCTTGTCTTAAATGAGGTGGTATATATCGAAGGTAGAGATCTAGATATTACTGAAAAATAATCACATCGTGTACACAGCTGGATATCTGGTACTTCAAATAATTCTGGGGCCAGCCAAGTACACCGCAGCAGGCAGCCGGCCGGCAGCCAAACAGAGTAAGCCGCCCCATACCCCCATGGACGAAATAAAATAACGGCAAGTGAAGTGAAGCAAAGATTAGGCGTGATATTTAAAATAAAATCTTGCAAAGAGTCGCAAAAATCTCTAAAACTCTTTTAAATAGAAAGAATCTCATATTAGCCATCAACAGTTGGGCAGTACCTGTGGATGTCTATACATTTGTTGTTCTTCACTGGACAACTGAACTGCAAGAGCTTAATCGGAAAGTTAGGACCACTCTTACCAAGTATCGAATGCACCATCCCAACAGTTCAACTGCAAGGATGTACTTACCTCGGAACGAAGGGGATAGAGGTCTTCTGTATTTTAAGTAATTGTGCGCGAAGCAAATCAACAACCTTCGCAAATACGCCCTTCAGAAAACGACTGTTATGCATTACGCAATTTGTGTCACAGGCAAGAATTGTACCCCACTAAACCTGAATTACGAGAACTCTGAAAGACGATGTATGACCAAAAAACGATGGGCTGAGTAAGTGGACCAAGAAGGCACTTGCACAGCAGGGATTCTGCAGAGACAAAGGGAACACTGAACATGGGATCGTCAGTCTCCATCTGTTCTCTTTGCTGAGACAGAAAGCTTCGTCATTTCTATTCCGAACGAAGTAACCTCCATTCGCAATTACCAAAGATATGTGATTGCGGATAGGAGTGTAGAGGACCGCAGCCGCCTTTGGAATCAACTCGGCGAATCCCTCCAATACATAATGGGTGGTTGTTCTCTTTTCACACAAACAGAATACCTGGGTCAGCAGAACGAAGTTGCTGCAGTAGTCCATCAGTCCCTGGCTGCAAAGTCAGAGATGCTGTAAAAAGAGGTCCCATACTACAAGTTCAAGCCGGATTCAGTTTTGTAGACGAAACGTTGAAAGTTTTTGTGGTGGAAAGTTGCAGTCACCAATGATCGCAGGGTTGAAGACAACACACCTCACATAATATCGGTCTTCATATTTTCACGGAAAGGGATTACAGTCGACATAGATATTCCTTTAGACCGAAATATAGCTGTATCATCCATTGCCGAGAAGCGAAAATATGAGACTTTGACTATTGAAATGAGCAACATGTGGCGGTTAGTATCCGTTGATGTGATCCTTGTGGTCATCTCTGCAAATGGACTGATCTCTAAATAACTTACTTTATCGTCTGCAAGGCTCGGCCTTAAGAACTGGCACGTTTAGACAATGCAAAAGTCTGTTCTTCTGAGTACTGAACGCATTGTAAGGTCTTATACCTTCACGTCAAATCCTGACCGCCCCGAGGTTGCAAGCGAAGCACGCACCTTGGTTCTCGAAAGGTCCCGATGTCTGCTGTACGACACCATGCTTAGAGACTTGAAAGTTGATGATGATAATAATAATAATAGTAGTAAATAATAAAGAATTATAATAATCTCCCGTGTGGGTTTGGAGGTTTTAGTAGAATAGCACTACGGGACCTCCCCCTGTCGTAGAATGCGACTAACCGGAGCAGCTGTCCGCTGTCACTTCACTAAGTATCCTGTTTCCCACAATCTTGTGTCACTGCTTTCACTTACATGTGACACACTTCCACTTTCTGTCCTGAAGGCTAATCATCTTATCAGTCAACTCTTGTGTTTTCAACCCCAACGCTATTACGTTGCTAGGGGTAGGGTGTCGTTTCTATTCTTCTATTTTCTAACTCCATTCTTCACTGTCTTTCTACCTCTTTCTTCCGTTTCCTTTTGAGCTGGCGGTAGCTCAAAAACGCTAGGGCAAGGCGACCCCAAAGAAAAACCCGGGATGGAAGGTCGTTCAGAATCAACCATTACGGTGCAGGGGATCGGAGCCCCAGCACCGGCGGTCAGTGGTGAGCAAGCAGGCCACCGTGGGCCATCACCCAGCGATTGCAATGCCAAGGGTGCGGATCACTCGCCCCCCCTGGAATATATTGCTACAAGTGCGAGTATAAAATTAAAAAATGGAGAGACAATTCAACAGCTTAAAGACCACCAGAGGAAGATTATCGGGAGCGCTGATGCCTTTAGCAAAAAATGGCTAAAACAGTGAGCAAACTCGCTAAGTTGCGACCTCTGAGACCAATGGTAATGCTAGAGGCAAGGGATATGGACGAAGTGCTCACCAAAGAGGAAGTCAGGGGAGGTGGAAAAACTGTTGAAGAGGAATGAGTCGAGAATTGATATTGAATGCGCACTTCTAAACGTTATGCCGGAATGCAAGCAGCATTAATAAGGGTCTCAGAGAAGATGGCCAACGAGATTCTCAAGATAGAAAGAGTAAGAATAGGGCTAGTGATATGTGGAATTAGATAAAGAATCCAAGTTCGTCGTTGCTTCCGATGTGTGGGCCATGACATTGTGTCCAGAGGATGCAAGGGATCTGACAGAAGAAATTGCTGTTGGAAATGTGCTAAAGTAGGGCATACTAGGAAAGAACGCAAGGATAAAAAATGTTGCGTAGGTTGCTAGGACAAAGGAGTTCAAGAGTTCATGTGGCTGGAGGAAGTAAATGTCCCTTATTCAAAAAAGCCCTTGTACGAATTAAACAAAGGACTTCTGGATCTAAAGTTCCTGATAAATCTGGGTTGAAGCACGGGAGCTCAAAATTCAATGATGCAGACAGCGGGCCACAATAATATTGACGTGCTACTTCTTAGCGAACGTAACCGTCGACAGGACCTGTCTGAATGGTACCAAAATAGTACAATGAGAGCGGCTACCGTCATATGTAACCCGCATACCAAGGTGAGTAAATACAAGTCAACTAACCACGGCTTTGTGTGGGTGGAGTTCCTGAGAATATACAGTTATTTCTCCCCAAACGATGGACTGCAATAATTCATGGATAAACTTGAGGTACTGGAAGAAAGCATAGGCGAATCCAAACGAGATGTACTGGTGACCGGCGACTTCAATGGGAAATCTCCCGGGTGGGGCGAAGAGAGGATGGACCGAAGATGGATCGTTAAAACCGAAATAATAGCCCGAAAGGACATGGTGATAATAAATACAGAAGTTACACCAACGTTCAATAGGGGAGATGCCAAGTCAGTAATTAACCCGCCTATTGCAAACCAGCGGTTAGCCGCTCACATTGAAGAATGGGACGCCCTAGAGGAAGAGTAAGTGACCATAACTACATATCCTTTAGGATTGTAGGAAGTCAGTACTCCAAATAATCGTCTTATAAAAGGTGAGAAAACAGTCCTAAGAGGACATGGATGCTCGGAAACTCATCGAAGAGAATGTAAAAAGATCCCTTACAGAATCTAGGTACATCCAAGAGCTACGGTGAGGTGTTCAACCCCCAATCAAGACAGTATTGCAGATAGGGCTCGAACGGTTATCCAGAGGCAATCCATCGATGCCCCTAAAGGCAGTCAGCAGTTATATAAAGGGGAAAATATTGGTGGACACAGGAAATAACCCTTCTAAGGAATGATTGTGAGCAGCCAGAAGAAGATGTACGAGGTCAAAGGGGGATGAATATCTGAAAAGGAATTACAAGCGGAAGAGGAAAGAACTAAACTGCGCAATAAGAAGAAGGAAGGACATGTACTGGCAAAAACTGATGTTAGATGTTGAAAACGATCCGTGAGGCATGCAAAATTGTTATAAGTTGAATGGGAGGCGGAATATTTCTGCTATAAATGATAAAACGTGGGCCGAAGAAATAATTAGACATCTATTTCCCATACGCTCAAAAAGAAAAAGGAACAGCTATGACAAAGCGGTAGAGGCAGACATGTTCACGATCCGTGAACTGCAAGAAGTTGGTAAATGCCTGAAAGCATGCAAGGCACCTGGTTGGACGGGATACCGAACGAGGTACTGAAAGTAGTCATCACAGAGTATCCGGACCTTCTATTGGAACTCTTCAATTAGTGTATGAGATACTCAGGCTTTGAAAAAGACTGGAAGCGTCAGAAGCTTGTACTATTAAGGTAAAGACACACGGGGTTCAAAACCTTACGGTGGAAAACGCATATATCCCGCTTCAAAATAATAATAATAATAATAATAATAATAATAATAACAATAATAATGATAATAATAATGTCGGTCCCGTGGCGCAGGCGGTTGCGGCTGCCATCGTCTGCGCTGCGAAGGCTTGGTTCTATTGCGCAGGCATGGTATGCGCAGTATTTGTGACGGTTCCATCACCTCTCATCATCCTATCATTCCATAATTCGTAACTCAAAGCGTAACAACCTTGATTTACCAATTACCATACTTGATTTACAGCCGAAAAAAGCTGATCCCCATAATGAAACACGTTAATCTCTCCGGTAAAAATATGACTGGCCATGAGATGTTAACAAGTACTGTGCTCACAAATGGCCGATACGCATACAACAACAACAACAATAATAATAATAATAATAATAATAATAATAATAATAATAATAATAATAATAATAATAATAAATAACCATTAATGATATTATATTTGTAGGCTTTTCATCTCTATCTTCGTGATATTTGATATTTTGTAGTGTGTGTATTTACAAAATGTTCGTGACTCAGTTCATCCAAAAATTAACCTCACACTTTGCCACTGATCTTAACAGGTTCGGTATTGCGAATTGTGTATGTCATTTTCTATACTCTTTCCATTCCTATTATTTGGGCGAGATACTTTTGTTGTAACAAAAATTTATGTTTTTTGTGAAGTACTTGATGCCTTGATGAACTGTTTGCTTGAAGAACTTGATGCTTCGATGCTACTGATTTGGAGACTACTACTCATTTGGTTTGGTTCTGCCACAATTGGTTTTACCGATGCAGTTCTGTCATTGCGTAATTTCTACAACTCACCATTCTATCTTACTGTAGTTGTGTAAGGCCTTCAATTGCTTGGAAGGCATCATAAAACAATATCTACGCTAAGCTAATTTCGGGTCGAAATAGGCTGGATATTCGGGTTGAATTTATTTTCATTGGCGTCAAACTATTAGTAAGGCAATAGATGACCACCTCGACTGGTTGTGTGCGTTTTAGCCTGGTTAATTCTTTGTCATTTCTGGGCGTTTAAATTCACATGTGCTGCCCTTGTAAAGTGTGACAGCTTTCGGATACAAATCTGACTGTATTTTATTTTCTATTTAGTAAGGTCCTTTCATATTGGAAAGTCCCCTTACCTCATGTTTAAACGTAAAACGTTGACACTAACTGAGCGAGGTGGAATCCAGGGTAGGGTAGGGCACGGGCATTTTGAGTTATTGTTACGTGACAGGCATTCTCTACCCGTTGTGCATGACGTAATCGTTCCGTAATCAGTTTCCTGCCGCTGACGTTTTGTAAGATGTGTGCAATATGTGTTCGTAATTGAGGAATCGCCTCTCTACGCCCAGTACATTGGTGCATGGTCCGAGATGGAGCAAGAACTATGACGAACAAATGTATGGGACCGAGATGTGACTAAGAGCTTGCTCGGCGTCATTTGGAGGCACGAGGCAGCCTTTCCCTGGGAATCGTTTCCAAGGGAGCCCTACTTACTGCGTGGATCCCTGGGCGGGCTCTCAGGCACAGACAGACGGCAGCGCGGCGAGGGGGACGGGGCGGAAAACGCATCTCCGATTTAGAAGAAAATGGAAGTCACTAGTACGAGAAAGTCTGTCATTTTGTAGCATCACTAGTTTACTTAAGAAAATACAATACTGTGACGTCACCCCATGTACATACGTATCGTGAAATAGTGGCACAATGATTTCGAGAAATGTGAAATGAAAAAGCGAGTGGTGCTGATTTTATGTCGCTAAGGGTTTTGCAACCTTTTTTGAAACATTCAAAGGAAAACATTAATCTACAAAAAATGCGTATGTTTGAGAAACGAAAAAAGAGGTGAATGAGCCACCACAGCTGATAATACGATACAGTTTAAAGACGAAAGACATTGAGAGTAACGGATGTAGGCTGCTGGAATTTGCTGGCGAGGAGAAAACGATGATAATTATGTTATGAGTAAATAACGTGTTATGAATTGCTATTGCGAAGGAACGAGTGAAACAACACTTAATGACACTAATAGACGTATTTACGATCTAAGGTTAAACTTAGTTCCTTTCTTAAAACAAGAGCACATACCTCTAGTTTCAGATCCATTTTTTGAAGAACGATTTCCATGGACGTTTCGAGCTTCTTTGCTATGACGAGAACGCCGCCGTGCTGAAGGTACACAGTGAGGATCACAGCAGGGACTAGCCAAGTCGTAGGCTTCCAAACTAGAGCTATCTTGACTTGTTTGGACGCATGGACTACAAAGTGAGTTTGAAGTTGAATGACTCTGACCAGATTCTTGGTGTTGGTTTCGGGTCTTTGAACATTTGAATCCTAAAATTGAAACAAGACATGAATTGAAAATTATTGTAATATACATAATTGAGAATTAGAAGTATAAATTGACAGACTGACCACCAATTGTGAAACCGAAAAAGAAGTGTGACAATAACTCGTACACAAGACAAATTATTAATTTTTTGAGGACCGACACTGTCCGTGAAGATGTGATGGTGATAACTAGAGGGCAGATTTTTACCTAAAACATTGCCAAAAAATGATCAATGAAATGTTTTAAAATGCCCTAAAAACAAAGAAAATGACGTAAAAAGTTGGTCAAAACTACGTCAGATGAACAATTCACGCTGTTGGATATGTTAATGATGTAATCGAGACTTCTTCCTTTTGTTCAAGTGAACTCGGTGAGCAAACGTTTGGTTCGGACTGTTCTTTAACAGAAAATCTCGGCCTTCGCCAGACAACCGCGAAATCAGCCGAACTGACAATGGCGCTGATAGGTGTTAGAGGAACCTTAGATTACATAGTACACACAACGGCTGACATTACAATATACGAGCGAAGAAACTGAATAGGCTACTCAGGAATTCATTGTTGAATATTTGTTGCAGCTCGTAAATATTGTTGGAAGAAAGTACCATTAAAATGATATTAAAATCAATGAAATCAGCGAAAAATGCATTACAAGTGACGTAAAAAGTACAAAATGACTTATTAGTCGAAATCGACGAAAAATACCTATAAAATGGTTTATTTCCTTATGTCATACCGTTACATGAATTTCTGTACTAAACGGCATTGCCCTAAAATGAAAAGAATAACATCTCATTAAAATCTGCTCCTAGTGATAACGCTATGGTAGATTATAGTTAATACTAAATATTTGTGTTAAAAAACGCTAATAAGAAAACATAAAAAAGATTTGCTCCAGGAGCACTCGAAACCGGATGTCATGAAGTACATTAATGAAAACATGGTCAGTACGGCCAGGCGTCTCGTAAGAGGGGAGGCAACCCCGACAAATGTCGGAGATCCCGGCTTTGGGGGCGCCGTGGAAAAAATTACCTCTTAATATATTTATATTCAATTGAGATTTTTTTACAAAATTGAACCAATATTTGTGACAAAATATCTACTGGGTCAGAAAGTAGTGGGGCACAACAGTTTGTCTACGCAACCAAAATCTGTGTGCGACCCTGGGTGGGGTGTAAAGATACATGAACTCGGACGCATTGTTTTCGATGGGCAGCGGCGAGTCCAAGTCTCACTTGAGTTGGATGCTGTACGCAGGCAGCATCCTGTGGGAGGCAATGCCTCCTCTCCAGGACAGGGACTTCCTTATCGTCATTTGGGTTCAGCGTCGATATACTGTATCTGTTAGGAATTCACCGACGTCTTCAGCATTCAGTATTAGTCACTGCGCTTCGACACCTAAACGCACGTGTGTCAGCCTCCACGCCCCGTGCAGGTCCATAGATACATGGCGTGCAGTCGCTGTCGTTGCCACCCTCGGATCCGTAGCGATCCGTAGAACTATTTTCGAGTTGGCGTGCACGTTGTAGGCCGTGAACTCTTCGCTCTTTATTCCCCCTGCAGGCAGGGAGACCAGCTCCGGATCATCGTCGTGCCTACGTCTTACCAAGGCGGGTAGCTGATCTTCCTATCGCACAGAGACAGCCGTAGTCCTCACCACGTGCCATACGTGTCACGAAGATAGGAAATCGGCGTTATTTGGTATGTCCACTTTGAAATGACTATGTTAAGAGCGTCATCTATGTCAAACTGACGCTGCATGTGCTAGCAAAACGTCAATTTGCATTAACTGCAAGGGTCGAGGGCTCAGCACAAAACGGGCCCGAAAAATAGGCGGGAATTGGACAATGTCAACTATGCATTAAAAATACTACATGTGACCAGCCATGATAGCTTGTTCATCCAAGAACCATATTCCGAGCACTACACACTGCTGGCATTAGAATAATGCTGGTTATGGAACGGCTTGGGAAACTACAAAAACAAGAACCGATTTTCTTGGTCATAAAACTATACTCTTATCTTCCCTCCCAAGTCAGTACTGTCCGTGTGTGATCAATATAGGCCATAATGGTCAACGTAGTTTCGACCTTTGCCCTACATTTGGTATCTTCATACCTGAAACATCGATCGCAAAGTATACAAATACCGTACTGACACGAAAGAAAATTATTTACCCATCTTTCCAATTCTTAAATATTGAGCATGTGGCATGTTAAATTGATTTCGTAACAACATATTAATAGTAAATGAAATAATAACGGTTTCAATAGACGTTTACATTTCAAAGAGCAAATAGCATGACTCTTTGCTAATAAACAATGTGCTATATGCTGATGTTAAAGTTAAAAATGTTTGGGTCAGTCAAATATAAAATACAATATCCATATAAATGAAGAAACCACTAAATTAGATTCATTATTTTACTCATTGAGATTTTTTCAAATTCAGCTCACTACAAACATTTACATTTAATACATGTATATTACTTTACAACTCTTTGCCAGATGACATTAAACAATTAAAATCGATGCTCAAGTTTCAGTGGCAAGTAAAATTATTTCTGCTGTATAATTGTTTTTATACAATTATAAACTATATTGAGCATCAGAAAGGAAATTAATATTTACTTTAAATATGACTAATGCATTACTTAACATTTGCAACGTGCAATTCTAAAATACTAAATTTGCGGGTAACAAGTACAGTGAAAACCTCTCTTGATAATCACATTTGAGAATTAAACGATGTGGGTATTTTTGGAAACAACATCCACACACATGTAAATAATGCAAAATATACCCAAACACACCACCCTTCTTCCGACAGCTCTCGACAAATTTATCCTTTTTAAGAAATCACTTTCAGGAAAATTGTAGGTATACAATATACATTTACTTAAATTATCATATTTTACATCATCAGGCCTTCAACAAAGCCAGCTATAGATTACACGACGTTGCTAGAAAATATAGAAAACACCAAAAGAGTCAGTAAACGCTCTCTTGAATCCATTATTGGTGGCGGAGATTTTAACATTGATTTTCGAACCACATTTTGTGTAGTTTCTCTATTAAATTAATTCCTTCTGTTTAGATATTACAATAATTGTACCTACACGGACCGACATAATTCAAAGAAGGGAATCCTTCAATTAATAATTAGCAAAGTCACTACCAGATAAAAAAGCGCAATGAAACAATTAGAATACAGAGATCAGGCGGCGGCGGCGATGGTGTAACGGTTAGCGTACTGGACTGTTGTACCCAAGTTGGCGGGTTCAAACCCGATCGAAGCCGTGGATTTTTAGGGCGACAAAATCCTTCGTACGCCTTCCTTCGGAGGGGAAGTAAAGCCGGCTGTCCCATGTTCGTAGATTTACTTGCATGTAAAAGATCCTCGAGCCTAAATGACGCCTCTGAGCTAAATTCAAATCGCCTGTTTCTCGCCCAAGAAATACCTCCTTTCTCTCCTAGTTGGTGAAAGGAGCGTAGCGAAATTTGCGTGGTCAGACGGAAGAGCGGGCCTGATGGCCCGAGTCTCGCCACGTAAAATAAGGCAAATTCAATTCAATTCAATCATTACGCACACATTGTTTCAATTACAAGAAACACCGACATATCAAACAATATATGTGTAAATTGTTTAATAAACGTAAAATAAATTTATTTATATATTACTACTACTTTACTACTAGATTACTTTCTGCCGGAAACGTGGGGCGCTATTGACGCGCCTTTGACACTTTTTTACCTGTTGATTTCCTTGCGACAATATCGATATAATTCCCGAGCCCTTCCATTGTCACGGTCAGCGGCTGTCAGAAGTGGTTGTATGTCACGGGTCTCTGCACTTCTCGGTGGCTCCTTGGAGAGGCCCCGTGCGAAGGTAGCCTAAGATATATTATGGGTCGAAGAATTTTCCAAAGCGAAAGAAGGGGTTCACAGGGATGGGGAGTTAAACGTTGAACGTCTCCAAAATGCTTTAGAAATGGTAAGGGCTTAGTACCTGGGGATGTGCTATGCTTATTGGTCCCGTTAGAGTGGTGAATGTTTTAACGTGGGAGGTGGCGGTCCTCGCTAGTTACCTACACATCGGCTTACGGAGAATTTCGCCACCGGATATCTCTCTCTAGGGAGGCACAGTCCCCGCCGGGACAAGCTTAAAGATCCAGACTGGTCTCCCGACATGTGTTGTAGGGTAGTGCATGCTCGTGTGTGAGTGTAAGTAAAGTTGACGATACGGCAACGAAGAGAAAGGAAACATCGCACGCGGTCCGTTTGTTAGGGTATTGCTCCGGCACGTGCCTGGTGTTGTTTGCAGAACTCATGGAAACTTGCCGATCAGAGCAACCGGCCGCTAGGATTCTCCTCCACACAGCAGCTGAATATGATCAAGCTTCAGGGGTTTGACAAAACAACATGAACCCCATGCAAAATAATACACCTTTTTCAACATTGACTGCACTGCGGATGTGTAATGTCTGCGACGCGCCTGTATTGCACAGTTCAGGTGTATTTCTGAATTTTTATTGCAGTGAATTATAGTTTTGTCAGCGGCGGTGAACACAAGCGATCAGTGAAATGTGTGATTTCTCAGTCAGGGCAAATCGTTAGTGCGCCTGTGACTAAACACCTGAACTGTTTCGCGAGCGACAATGTCCACGGTAACGACGGCACACAAAATACATGACAAAACATCGGCGAAAAGGAATAGTGGGGGCAAGCCGAAATTAAATGACAGACCGGCGAAAATTAATGGGATTGGGAGTAGACCTAAAACTACCGCGGCAAAAACGACTGCATAGCTCAAAATGAGGACAAAATGTGACAGTGGCAAAAAATGGGAAAATAAGGAGGAAATGGGAAGGAGAGACAAAGGGACAAAATGGAACAAGGGGACAAAAGGACAGATGAAATAAAGGGAGAAATGGGGACAATGGGGGCAAGCGAGCAAAAGGGAAAACAATTTCAGAATCCATTTCTTTTAATACTAACGAAGATAAATGTCACGGCTTTAATTCAGTGGTAATTTCAAAAACCGCAACTTAAATAGTAGCAAATGAATTGTAAAAATTAATTTTGGATCATTTATTCCGCAAAATTATGTTTTGTGGCAATGACATTTATCCAAAGATATATGAGCACTGGTAAAATCGAAATCCGGAAGTCTGCTAACAATAGAGTATGCAATTGGTTAACAATGTTAAACTTTATTGTATGAGAACATGTTTTCAAAACAAGCGACGTTAGGAGCGAGTTTTAAAAATTGTACAAATGCAATAAAGCAATATTATAAACGAGTGGTATACGCTATTTTTTGTATAACAGCATTACACATTTACAAGAGAATGGAAATGAACTTTGCCAAAGAACGTTCTTATGACGCCTCGGTTTTTGTCATGTGTGCGAGAAAACTCTGATCAGCTGTTCCGTTTACAGCTACCGCCGTAAAATGCTAATACATCATCATTACGCCCGTTATCATTGGTGCTGTACAATTCCCTTTTATGAACGATTACTTACAACAAAAGGTTGTTTATAAAACTGGTTTACAAAAATTGTAAATGAACTCTCGAACATTTTAATGGCCGTTGCTATAATGACCGTTGCTCTTAATGCATTGTTTAGATGGTTGGTTGCTAAGGAGTTAATCGTGTGTTTACAGTCGTCAATAACCAAAAATAACAATTTTTATTGCATGAAAAGCAAATTGATTTTCTTAATGGTTCAATCTCCTGCAATATTAATCCTCTCAATCCGAAATCAAAAAGAACAGAAATTATCCACATTAGTCACATTATAAGATGTGACAGTCATAATCGATTTGTAGTTCTATATGCAACAGAGAAAGTTAAAAGGCTTCTCTACACTTTAACTGTACACTTCAATTTTCTTTTAATTAGGGTTTTCGTATCTCAACGACAAAGGCTGAAGCACAAAACGTGATGATCGAAAGAAATGTGTTCCATTATATCACTTATAATGCCTTGTGATAAGGGAATCTTTTCCCACGAGGAATCCATTGAGTCAAACTGATAACATTTCCTTGGATTCTATTTGCTCTCTAAAATCGTCCTTACGTTGTAGTTCTTCAGTCAAATGTTCATTAGAGCTTCACATTTATCATGAGACATCCTACAGAACTCACAAACAATTTTAATCGTCAACCAAGACTGGGAATTGTGTCTGTGTATTCCTCTTTTGGCATTCACTTTCTTTGTATTTCAAACCAGAATCTGGGCTTTCGTCGACTCCATAGTAAATTTTCATCTTCCGCAATTAAATATAAACAGAAAGCGATTTGCTTTTTTACTTAGTGCCCGAAGTGCCCGTTCCGTTCAATCCCAGCAAAGCACGCGCCACTCTAATCAAAATGCTTGCTTAGCTTAACTGCGGGCTGCCAGTGCACGCTTAGCCTAACACATCAAGCAAATTTTTGATATCCTGTCGGGATCGAACCCAGGATCGCCTAGACTCTCCTTCTCGTATCTCCTAACAGTATCTGCGTAGCTTTTGGTGCTAAAGTACCACCCAAGTACAAACAGATAATAAAGATTTCCCACGTAATAAATATTAAACGGTCCAAACTCATTTTAAACAATCATTGTACTGTACGGAGCAAAATCTGATTTATCTTCCGGAAACCTTAAAGGAAAATTGCTATGAAAACACTGTAAATATTAATAAAGAACGCTTAAAACTTACCAGAACTTGCTGCAGCCATTCCATTTGTTTGATGGTAACCCTTTGTTGTATTTTGTCTGTTTGAGGCATCACATAATTTTGTACTATGTGAAGCAACTTCTTCACAGTTTTGTGCTCTATGTGGAGTATGTGCAGGAATGTCTTGCCCAGACCAGCTCTTCATGAATTTTCCATTGTTACTGTCAGGTGGTTTCTGCAGGGAATAATATCCAGGTTCCAAATACTGGTAAGCAAACATGACCTGCGATTGTCTGCTTTGTTGCACCTAAAAGGAAATTAGGTGTTATAGAATGAGTCTAACTAAATCTAGTTACGAACTAAGTGGTAGCATTTTGATCATGCCTCGTAATAAATTAACCAGTGAATATAATCAGTTTCAAATAATGAATGATTAATTGAGGTTTAGAGGGTGCTTCAACCGTTTAGGTCATTGGCACACAAGTCAAAGTATTTTTTAATTGAATTGATTTAGTAAGTGTTGCAAATGCAACTTATCCGCTGATTAAAAGCATGTAAATAAGGAGGCATGTACAAACCTCAAAGGATGGCATGCATTCCGCATAAAATATGCAAGTAGATAAAAGAAAAGATGATAAAACGAACACGTGAAATTCAACATAATACGAAAACTGTCTGAAAAGGAGCCAAGAAACACAACAATAAACATATTGACCTCATCTCTCAAATACGAAGCGCAGAATCGTTGGAGTCTCAAAGAGCGCGGAATCGTCATCTCTTAGCACCTCCCATAGCGAGTGGCCAAGGCCATGTCTTCGGCAGCTCCCAATAAATTTCGTACAATGCAGAAGGACATGTTCCACAGAAATAACCGTCGTGCACGAGTTGCAGATTAGAAGAAATTCACATTCGAGGAGGAAACCATGAGAAAAGTGCCAGTGTCCCATAGGAAGACGGGATAAATGGCTTCCTCACACCCAGAAGGTCGGGATGAGGAAAGCCAAGGATTAACAGAATCGTTTATCACTCTTACTTCAAAAGTGGTATTGTGCCACTCTGTTTGCCACGCTCAAAAGAGGGATCGTTTCAAAAGCCTTAACATCGGACGATGGTACAGAAGGAATGTCAATGTGGGTCTTCCGCCGATTTTGCCGCTTGGTCGGCCAGCACATTCTCCGTGATTCTCACGTGGCGTGGAACCCAAGAGATGAGTAAGAGATCATAGTAGCGAGACAGAAGACGATGAATCAGGTTTTGAACTACGAGGTAGTCTGAGATAGTTTATTCCCGAGGTAGTCTGAGGAAGAACGAGAGACAAGTTTCAAGAGCGCCCAGAGAAACAGAACAGAGAACTACTCGCCCCCAACGACACTGATTCGATGTATTTTAGGGCTTTGAGAATTGCTTACATTTCTTCAGTGAATATACTGCACTGAGAAAGAATCCAATATGATTTGGTGACCCTTATACAATAAAAATAAAAACATCATGCCACTGGAAATTAAGGATGGCTCCCCAGCCTCAGCTAGAAGGCACTCGCTTCGCTTGGTGCGATACGCACCTGTTGAGAGGCGGAGTATGCCGCTGATACGAGACTGGAGGGAGCTGCAGAGCCATACACTTCACTACCGTAATCCAAAACCGCAAGGGTGTGTGCTCTAACCGCAATACGGTAATGCGGTCGCTCCCCATAACGTACCACTTGGCAAACGGACAAGATTAAGGGGAGAGACACATCTAGTTTGCAGTCTACGGATAGGAGCACGCCAGGTGAGGGACTTGTCAAAAGTAAGCCGCAGGAACCTGGTAGAATCAGCGGATGGAAGCTGATTTCCTACCAAGTAAAGGAGTGGATTGCTATGCAAGTGGTGTATCCCGCAGCAATGCAAACCAATACTTTTAGTAGCAGAGAAGTTAAACTCTTTTGACACGCTATATTCGTGGAGCTTGTTGACAACAGTTTAAGTTGCTTCTGATGCTGCTGGATGAAAAAAGATGGCAAAATCATCCACAAAAACGATGCCTTTACAGGTTCTCGCACAAACAACGCTATACTGTTTTTGGCAATGGCAAGCAGAGTGACACTTTTAACACCGACCCTTGAGGGATGCCGTTTTCAAGACTCTCACTGCTACACAGATTGTCACCAACGCAAACACGGAAAGATCTATTCGAGAAAAATGTTTGGAGCAATAAGGGGAGCTTCCCCCTTAATCCCCGAGAGTGCAAGGCCCGCAGAATGGCCGAACCTCCGATTGGTGTCGAGGGCATTTTCTATATCGAATAGTACGGACAGAAGGTGACTTAGGAAGAACGATGTTGAAATTTCTGTTGCCAATGCGATAAGATGGTCCAGGATTGACAGTTGTTTTCTCAATCCGCACTGGATTGGTGTGAGCATATTTCTGCACGTCAAAGTCCACAACAAACGCCGATATACCATCCGTTCCAGCACTATGCAAACGTAGGTAGTAAGAGTGAAAGGACGGTAACTCGATGGCAACGACAGATACTTTCCTTCCTGTAGAGCTGGGATAATGGCTTTTCGCCATAAAGCAGGGATGGTGTGCTCTTCTTCCCAGATGCGCTTATAAAGACGGAGGAGAAATTGCATCACGACATAAGGACAGGATGCAGTGACATTTGGTTGTGTATTCCATCAGGACCTGGGGCAGATCTTTTCGCCCACGTGAGAGCAGAGCGCAATTCCGGCATAGAGAAAGGGGTGCTGTAATTGTCAGACGCCGAACAAGAAAATTCTAACAGACGACTCTCCATCCTCTCTTTAACAAAAAGAAAGTCAGGAGCGTAGTTCGCCGAGCTTGAGATGTGTTCATAGTGCACGGCGAGGTCCTCTACAAATACATATGGAGAAGTGATCTCTCTATTTTGAAGAAGACCTGGAACAGTATTTGGTGAAGAGTGCCTTTTTATTTAACGAATTCTTCTCCACACCAGACACGGTGGCGTGTGGCATTTGAGAGAGGAGACGTATGCTCCTCACGATGCATTTTTGCTTTTTAAAACTGTTCTCGCCTTCATCCTGTATCTTTTATATTCGATGAGGATATCCACAATTATGGATAATGTTTGAGTCATGCCAGTGGTTTTTTACGAGCACTGCCCGATCTAAAGCAGTTCACATTCCACCATGGGACAAAAGGGTGTCGCTGTTTACCGGTTGATTTCGGAATTGTGTAAGAAGCAGCAAAGAGAAAAGCGTTATTGCAATGTGCAGACATCATTCATATCGGCGAAGGGACCACCTGAAAGGTGACCATTAGTTTGGAATGTCGACCAGTCAGCAAGCTGAACGATACATTGAGGGAGGCGAGCAAATCCACGACAGAGTTGATTGATGTGGCCAAAAGTGGGGAAATTGTCACTTCAATCTACTAATATGGTCCTTTTCATAGCAGAAGCGAGTGAAGTGTTGCAAAGGGCTACGCCAATAGTCGAGCTCGAATTCGTAGCTAAGGCGAAATGTGTTGGTTCACCAGTATTGAGAACGACCAGATTAGCGGTGCCGCTAACAGATTCCAAAGCGGCGCCCCTTTGACAAGTACGGGAAGAACCCCAAAGAGGACTGTGGGAGTTTACATCACCAACAATCAAAAAAGGTATGGGTAGTTGATTTATTAGACCTAGGAAGTCATCGACTGGCACCGTTTATCCTGGGGAATATAGATATTGCATACAGTGAGAGAGGGGTGGAAGATACAACTGCACACGCACTGTTTGAAGGTCGGTCTGAATAGGGACTTCTGCAGCGAGACATCAACCCTTTATAGGGTAAAACGGCAAAAGGATAGTGGCAGGGTGGAACAAGACGTGTCTCCTATAAGCAAAAAATTGAAGGAGGATAAATGAAAAATCAGTTTTACGTCGTCCCGCCGGGGAAAAAATCATTAAGATTCCAAGATAAGTTAAGAGTTTAAGACGTCGCAAGTGGGCTTTTTCCTTCCCCTTTTCCGTTTTCGTCCCTGCTGCCCGGAGTGTTCACCTCGCCTTAAGTTCCCTCCGACGCAGACTCCTCTTGAGCATTACTCGACAGGCTATACGATCGCTCAGAACCAGTCTCAGGCGTCGGGGTAGGTGCACGGAGCTTGGGGCATCATCATTCTGAAGCGTGTCCGGGCCAGATAGACAAATGGCCTCACGCGGGGGCAGAGAAGTGAATTCTTGGTTCGACGTCGTCTCCGCAGCTTTCTTGAGCATACTTTTGTATTTGGAGTGAAATTATTTTCTCACCTTGCAGAGGCGATGTCTCCTCACGGAAGTCCCCAAGAGACACCTGGCAACAGAATTGAGCAACTGGGGAAGTAGTAGGTGAAGTCTGGCAACACGCTGTTGCTTTCAGCGTCTTGACCAGAGTACAAGAAAATGAACGCGGAAGAGCTATTAGGTTCTTCGCCAGGTATCGGAGTTTCGCCTCAGGAACAGACACGTTCTCCGCCTCTCGAATCTTTCGGATCTCCGTAAGAAAGGCAGGGCACCTTAGAATTGGTGGCATGGTCTCCTTCACGAGTTAACTCAGCGAAGTGGTGATGCACACGAATCCGTATCGTGTATGGATTTGCCACACTTTGCGGAAACAGGACTTTCGGCCATACATCGTTGTTGAGTATGGCCGAACCTCTGAAACTTGAAGCAGCGCAGGGGGGGTAGGCACATACTGCCGCACGCGGAGATTATAAATCCCACAGCCAATTATCAAGGCGGGCGTGGGAATCTCTCTTCCATGCCTCTTCCTCTTGCTCCTGATCATCTCAGAGACACCCTGGTTCTTGAAAAAGAAGTGAATTGTCTCTTCTGTTTCGGTCGCGAAATTATCGTGATTGTCCACTCCCTTACATAGGTCAAGGGAAGAACGAGTGGTCACTTCCACTTGGAGATCGGCAATCTGCTTAGAGTTCGAGACCTTTTGATTTGCTCCTCGGGGCGCGCTTCGAAGAGAATGGTACCACATCTTTGACACACAACCGCTTGGAGCTTACCCAAAGAGTCTTCTATGGCTCGCGCGAGAGGGACTGCACTCACACTATTAAGTCTTCTTCCACGCACGCCATTAGAAGGAAAGTGTCACCCATTCCATTAGATACTGGTCGCGCGACAAACATGGGCGGGCGTTCAGCATACAGAGAAGACCAGGAAGAAAAAAGTAAAAAAGAATATAGGTGCCATGAAATGACAAGCAAGAAGATGAAAATGGAGAAAGGAACACATGAGAGCCTTCTCTGCATCCTCCCTTGAGGACGTGGACCAACCGATCTCGACGGGTAATGACAAATAATGAACTAGACAAGGTTTTCCATATAGTTAATTTACTTAATAATTATTAATAATATTTAGGATAAAATGAGATGCCACATTTTTTCAAAATGTAAATTTTGCAGTGTCATTTTGAGAACTTAAAAGACAATACAGGAGACATCTAGGAGGAGCAAGGAGAACGGTTCCACCTCATTGAAATGAAACGCCGGTATTATGAACACAATCGACGTAAATGTGGAAAGATTATGTTTCTATTATATTTATTTTATAAAACTGCTAAAAACCGTGTGACGTACTGTGGGAGCAATCTGTGCACATTCTCTTGAGCTCTAATATTCCTACCAAACTCATAAAATGAATTATGAATGCAGGTAACATTTTTGACCAAAATTGATAACAAAATATTCACATGTGTATAAGAACTGTTTCCAAAGGCAAATCATCCACAGATTTCGGCTATTATCTATTAGCTATTTAGGGACTTCTTTTTGAATATCCTCTGGAAAACAAATTAATGTCGAAGCAGTGTAAAGCTCTTTACGTTTGGAACAATAATATTGAAGATATTGGCATAAACTGGTTATTTTATTGAAAAACATTTAGTCTGTTTTTATTGAATGAATAATAGTACATTCATTAGCATTTTATCACCGCACGAAAGCCATCTTTCTTAACAAAGTACTATTTTTTAGAAAAGTAAAACATTTGTAACAATTTTTGTACTTTATTTCTTTTACAATTTAATGCTTATGTCACGTATTGATTGTGCTAAAATATGCTCGGGAATATTAGACTAAAGAATAAAAAATAGCCTGAAGTCGAAATAAAAAGTATTTATTGGAATTGGGAAACATTGTCATAGTTTTCACAGTTGTCAGAACACCTCAGTATTTTTGGCAACCACTAAAAATATTGGCTTGTTTTTATTTTCAAACGTATGTGGAAGGACCAAGTTTTATAAAAGTTTAAACACAAAGATGAATGAAAATTGATCATACTGTTCAATGACAAAAACGTCTATTGTCTTCAACTGATGGAGCAGGCCTCAAAAAATGATACTTTCCTGTCACATGGGAGGTTCTTTTATAAACACATTGATTCCAAATCAAATTAGGGGGTGGCCAGGCACACGTAGAAATGCTTCGCATTCATTTCGCAAACGTTTATTAACTCGTACTGGGGCGGTTGTACTCCCTATTATTTTTGTCATTCCGCCAACTGGTGAATATTCCCAGGAATTCAGTAAGTACAATTTAAAATGTGCTTTTTAAGAAATATTATTTACATGCGTAAATCTTTGATTAAAACTTAGTCTATTATGAATTTACTTAACAACACTGGTTCTTTGATATGCTGTATTCACGATCTGTCTATATCCGTCTCATCACATAATTCACAGACGCACAAATTGTTTTTTCTGCATCTGCTTTCTGACATGATTCTAATCAATTCTCACAATTTGCTTTTTAGACGACACTGGATCAACGTATTGCACTCGTGAAAACTGTTTCTAACGTCTAAGTTCACGCACTGATCGGATGCGCGGTTCCTCTGGATGACGAAGAATACCTAACAGAGCGATGCGGTCTTCCACGATGCTCAACTGCTTTAGAACTTGTCAAACGAATCGTCTCTAGGTCTGAATGCGTAATGCTAGTAGAAAGTACTTTTGGTCTGAAAGAAAATTTCTTATTTCCTAGAATTGTCAAACGAGTATATTCGCACTTTATCTACAGGTGTCAGAACATCATAATGATGCGTGCTCGAATAATTTAGATTACAAAATTCCTATACGTAGCTACTTCATAAAAAAAGGACTGTGAACAGATGAAAATAGATTTAAACGATATCTCACACGAGCAACATCTTCCGTGGAGACAGTTGGCCTGCAATATCCATATTCGCAATTGTCTTCAAGAGGCGTGGAGGAATGCGGAGTAACAGCCGATGTTTTCTTTCGAGCTGGAAGGCTGTGGGTTTTCCATTTGCCTTGGAGGAGTTCTCTTTCACGTAAACATAAGCGCTCTAGTTCCACCATTTTACCCTGTAAAACGCGCTGCAGCTGGATATACCGCATGTGGAGTTCGACCTGCAAACAAATGATAAGACGGTTAACAGAAACATATGAACACGACCTTAAAACCTTTTAGCACGCAAGTTCTTAAATATTAATGAGCATGAGCATAAGAATTCAAAGATCTTGATAGTAATTGCTCATAGTGATTTATAAGCAATTCCGCAGAGAAGTAAACAGGCAACTGTTTCAGTTGACAAAAGGAGGTTTTGTCGTGTCCTGTTTAGTTGTTAAATACTGTAACACCTCACGCGTCTCTGCGTCTGTCTGGAACGGGAATGGGAATTTCAATAATAATGGTCAAAAACCATTTGCGTTAACCAAATTATTACTTAAAAAAATGATGGTGATGATGAATTACAATTGATTTACAAATTTTAATAAAATATATAAACCGACCCTTTCTTTCATTATGACATGGTCATCTACTTAAATTAATACAATAAAAACAAACAAGTGTCTTCATGGTTACTTTTTCTGAACACCCTTTCCACCCCCTCGCTTCGCTCAGTAAGTGTTCGACCGCCATTTATGCGGGAGCCAAGCGGATTATTTACCCTCGTTTCTGTTGGCGGTTTCTTTGCACGCCGGTGGTGTAGTCGCCCGTCGTCTCTGTTCGGGCCGCCCCTTCCAGGCAGAGGCGGTGAACACAGGGGCTCCAGCTGGGCGTTGATGATCGCCGCCACTTACCGCGGGCTCACTACTCAATCGGCGTCTCCAACCTCAGCAGCCACGGTATTCATCGGCGCATGAATGAAGTTTAAACACTTCCCTCCGCAATATGCTTCGAAGCTTTACTTGATTGACTGAGCAATCGAAGTGAATAATCGTGACCGAACTATCGAATCGAGATTGAAATCACTTGGTTTCTCATGCCGAGTCAAACATCGAGTGACTTTCCGTGGCGTTTCAAGCCACACAGTCGAATCGAACACTCGGCCGTCTCCAACCATCAAGTCTAATCGACCACTCCGCCGTCTCAAGCCACCAAGTTAATCGACCACTCCCGGCCGTCTCCAGCCATCAAGTGCTTACCGAGAGGTGGCCTAGAACATCAAACCTCGGTACCCCTCCCTTCAAAGAACGTGTATCCTCCCGATACGCGGGTTGAATTTCCCGGAGCAGGGTGGAGGCGTGTGTCTGACCAATCACACGGGAACTCTTTCTTAACGGCCAGAATGCCGTTCGTTTGTAAAAAACTATCGGTTTTTTTTCGCACGTGCGCCGCTGACCGTTCGGTTGTAAACTCTCCCCCCCCCCCCGAGGAGCGCACCAGCGTTGGGTTCATTTTATGAGCGTCGCTTGAATAGCGGCACACTTGACATATTGGCGCGGGGTCCTTCCTAAACTTTATAGAACCCTCGCCTCAATTGACGGACGGGCGCGAATGCCTACGACCCCCCCCCCTTCCTCGCAGCTGCGTAGCGGGCGTCTGCTATTTTTTTCTTCTTTTTTTTCATGTACATTTTCCAACGCAGGAGCTTATACCGTTACAATACAGTTTTTTTGTTGATTAATTATGCCTAGTGGTGCTGCAAAAGCACAAACTTTATCGCATGGTTTCTAAATGCTCCGCATTATTATACTGCATAAACCAGAAAAAGTGTTTTCAACCAGCAAAATGTTTTTTCCGCTCCGAGACCCGATCTCAGATCCTCGTAGCACCATATTTTTATCGTTCCTTATTACTTAGACCTATGTGTGGAAATGTACAAACAAAAATTGAGCAGTTTTTTAGAATTTTGTTTAGAAATTGCATAATTTCAGACTGTAAGCGAATCAGCTTGTTTTCGAAAAAAAAATGTACATGGAATTTTTTAAAGAACTTATTTTTTCAACAGACTTTGTTTGAAGCAAAAATTGCTATCTCCAATTTTGTAGTTTTGAAATGGTAAGTTTTTGCAATTTTCGAAAAAAACGGAGTTTGCTGAAAATGGGACTGGCATATTACTACTCATAGTTTCGAAAAATTGAGCATGTACTAATTAAAGATCCGTCTTTAAGGAACAGATTTTATTAAGGAAAAACATGTACATTTTTTCACATTGATGTTTTACGTGAAGTGTCCTCAAAAATTGAAACGAGTTCATTCAGATCGATTGGAGAATACCAATTTTGAAGAAAATCGGTTGAAGGGTTTAGGCGCTAGCGTTGACCAAAGACGAACGGGCGGAATGACAAACAGACGTTTTGCCGTCAATCGACTTTTCGGTATCAAGAACAGAACATGGATTCTGACTATACCACGTGTTAGGGGAATTTTCCCTCTAAATGTAGCAACAGAATTTATTCACCTTTTCGTTACCACAGGCATAGGAGTTACCCGAGCAATAGGAGTTTTTCTGGCGAAAATTCGGTTTTCCGGCGCACGATTATGTAACTATCTCTTCTTACGAAGAATTCGCGAACCGCGAAAGTAAAAAGGGAAGCAGAAAAATAGAAAATATGAGACGTATTTAACAATAATGGATAGGAAATGTCTGGCGAATACATTTGGAGTAAAAAAATCTACTGCTTATAGATGGGTGAAGATACAAAACGAAAGCAAACCACGGAATGGAAGGAGAAAGGTGAAAATTACGGAAGAACGTGAATTAATTATTTATTATATTGAAAAGAATCCGAGGCTTACATTAAAAGAACGTCAACGTAAACTTCAAGAAAATCATGAAATTATGGTGCCCTGAGAATGTTTTCGGAAACATATAGATTGTTATTCACACTTAAGCATATTCGAAGAGAACCCGAGAAAATTAACGACGTTAAAAAAACGTCGTGAATATGTTCTGCAGCTATAAAGCTTTTAGCAGACAATGTTCCTATATTATGCATTTACTTCGGATTTTTCGGCATTTTTAATTCACTTATTTCGAGAAAGCAAGCACGTTATAAGAAAGGAATTCGATGCAGTTACATAGCAGTAGAGAGTCGTGAATAGATTGTCCACGTACTCGGTTGAATTGGTAATGTTGGATTAATTTATCACGAAGTAAGAAGAGGTGTTTTAGGAAAGAAAATGCTAACAGTTTGCTTCGTCAATGTTTCCGCGCTGCTGAAAATATGTTCCAGACGACCGTGATATTGGTAGTAGACAATCTTGTCATTACACGCATTGAAGAAATATTTAGAGGAACAATTTATAGGATATCGCCTTTTAAGATTAAGTCCTTATAGTTCAATATTGAATCCAGTTGAACTTGTTTGGTCATCTTTCAAATCAGCCGTTAAGAAAGATGTTTCCAGGCACTTGCTAAATGTATAAACTTATGAAGAAATTGCAAATATGTCACAAACAGAATTTCGGCTCCGCGACTTAGAAACAAAAATTAAATAATAGTAGCAATACAATAAATGTCAATAACTGTACAAAGTTCATTGCTTATATTCAAAGATTCATATCCGATGCTTTAAAATTAGTTGATATAATTGTGTAAATAAATTAATAGATGTTATGTTTCCGTTTCGTGCGGTTCAATAAAATGTATTCCTAACACGCATTACTTTCTTGTTTCTTTATTTAATTTTCTTTTTTCATTTTAATGCTGTGAACTCGAAAATGAAGGACTTAAATTTTTATTCTCAACTTGAAGGTGATTCGTCTCGATTTGAACGTGTTTGGTCTTGGTTAGAATATGTTTGGTCTCAATTTGAACGACCTTATCACCAATCTGAAAGCGTTTGTTCCCAATTTGAAAGTGCTTGTTCTCAACTTGAATGTGTTTGTTTTCAACTTGAATGTGTTTGGTCGAATTGTGAAGTTGAAAAGGCGTAGTTCGTTGGTTGCAAGAAGAAGTAATTATATATCCAAACAGCCCGCTCCACAGCCTGCCCCACCCGACCACACCACATCACGTCTCCGTCCTGTCCCCCCACGCCCCATCCCCATCTCGACGTACCACACTCGAAACCGCAACGCTACGACACAACCAAAAAGTACTATATGCAAGCAGTTTGCAAAATGCAATAGCCAAATTAAAAACACCCTTTTCACTGTATTTCCTAGTTTCGTATAATGTAGTCATCGTTATGACATAGTCCATCGTAACTGTATATCAAGTTCCACGGCTGTAACTTCAGTAGTCTTAGCTGTGCAGTGTCAGACTGTTTCTTGTCTTATATTGAAGCTTTTCATAAACGTATTTTTCTTTTAAGAACCTCTGTTTTTAATGTCCCCCGACATTATCATCAGAAACAATACTAATACTAATAATAAGATTTAAAGGTAGTTTTCCAACTGAAGAAAAGACCATATGGACAGTGCAAGAATTCTTACCTTCCTAACACAATCTTCAAACAGGACAACCATACGCATTCTTGAATCACAATTTTTTATGAAGTTGACAAGTGTCTTGTGATCAGCTTTTTCCATATCATGCCCATTTATGGATAAAATTACGTCACCTGCAACACGGAATACAAATAGAACATTTTCTTATAAAGCGAAAGCTTATTTTTTATATAGAGATATAAGGTTAATGGGTTCATTACACTTCAATTTAATACACAAAAAAGACTGAACTTTGGACGGACACAAGGATGAAGTAGGCATGAAATACTAGAAGAGTGTCTTCTGAAACAAAAATCTTTAAGTAAAGCAACACATTCCAATTATAACGATAGAAATGTTTTCCAACGTTGTAGAAGTATTTTTCGTGATTCCTACTAAAATAAGACTTACGTTTGGGAAGAACTGGAACTTTTAAATCAACACAATAAAATACTAGTACGGTGTGACTAATAGCGCGAAAACAAGCTTCTGATTAATTGGGCTCGTACCGCTATAACGAAATATTAAAGTGAAAATAAGGCCAAAGAACGTCCTCGTCATTCAATCTGTCGCTGCAATTGAGAGGAGTCATAGATGTAATTCACGGCATTCCACTCGTCTGCAATATTCAATTCAGGGCCACATGAAGTCACCTTGGGAACCAACATATTGTAACACCACATGCGGCTATAAGACACTATTATTAAGGTGGGGATGGGAGACATTTTGAATTTGAATACAAAGATTTCCAGATATAATATTCTGGCATCGATTACATTATATAAAAAGGCGTAAAATTAAAAGGTGTAAAAACATTTTGAATAATTTTGATCGTTTGCAATTTTCTAGATCCCTCAGGTTTTCATGAAAATAATCAAGGTTTTTAATAAACCTATGCCAGATTATTAAGAAAGCTCTATTATACTTTTAACAGAACATTTTAAAAAATTGGATCCGTTTTCAAGAAAATCTTGCTTACATTTTTCCTTTAAAACTTCTTATATTTTACTCAAAATTATGCGAAAATACTAATATTTTCAAAAAATTAATCTAACATTTAATTGAATATCTAATTTTGAAGAAAAGATTTGCTATAAAAAAGCTTTTCAATTATGCAATTGAAGTTGTGTGTAAACAAAATGAATTTTTAAATTTTCTAATCTTCAAAGGTTTAATTGAAAATGGGATTTGTGCAATATTGCTGTATTGTGCACGTTGCTGTATTCGAACATATTTAAAGAAAGCATTTCAAGCCATTATCCATTGAGCGATTTAAAAAAATTGTTGCGTCTTAGTTACTCATTATTACTATTATTTATCGACGGAACGCGTCTCTTAGCCCCTGATTGAACATTGACCACTTCTTCCCGAATAATCCTCCAGTAATATTTAGCCCATTAATATCTGTATTCCAGAGGGCGCTGTATATACGTATGTTTCGTGTCGTCAGGCAGGTGGCAAGAGGACCGTCAGGTAGCTTCTCCGCGTACTGCGTCACTACCCAGCGGCCAGAATTGGGAAGGAATTGGGAAAGGGGTAGGGTTTAGGACACTTTACAGGGGTTGGACTGGCCCCGGTGAAGCAGGCAGACTCCTTTTGTTGGAACAAATTTCATATGAGCTTGTCCGGGAATCGATCCTGAACCTACTTGGTGAAAGGCGTGCGAAGATTCGCACTCATCGCGTCGACATACTGAGTCTTTAGCTTAACTCGCAACCCATGTTTGAGAGCACTATTTCTTGTTTTCGCAACCGCGTGTTTTTGCCACCTTTCAAGACAGCCGTGCCTCGCACGTCGAGACAGCAGAATAGGCAACCGTCAGCTGCAGTAACTTTCCTGTTTCTGTGTTTTTTCCCATTCAAGGCCTTAGGCGGGCAGGTATGCGGCTCACACGCCGGAAGCTTTTCGCGCTGCACAGTGGGAGGCGTGGGGAAGAGTGAGCAGAGACACGAGCAAGAAACAAAACATCTGTTTAGGCCTTTCTGTCCAGAATGCTTAAGAAACAAAACTGAAATACTTAAGATGTGGAGGGAGGTTATGACTGTTTATACATCAACGTAAAAATAATTATTATTTAATGAAAGTCGGCTCGGAGAGAAATCAGGACGATATCTTATAGAACAGCTCACAGAACTGCCAAGCTCTTCATTATTTAAAAAAGTAATAATGTATTATTATCATTAAATCTTATTACTAACAAATACGAAAGGCTTAATAAAATTATTACAAATAGACATAAAACATAAATCAGTACTAAATTAACAATTATTGAAAATAATTAATAAAAAGTATAAAATATAATTTCCTTAAAATGACAAAAACCTGGCCATCGTGTAAATGCTCAAAGTGACCACCTTTTGCCAAAAGACGGGAGTTTACTCTTTTCAGTATAGTGGCTTAAGTACGTAGAAGACTAACAAGGACAGAATAAGTGATTTCTCTTTTTTCCAACTAAAATTATCCATATTCTCTCACTCCGAAATCTGAGGGCCCGTGGCCGTGGATCGCTAAAAATGAAATGGATGCCAAAGTTATTTCATGCGTTACCAAATTGCCAAAACAAGAGGTGGTGTTTCGGTGGGTTGCGAGTTAAGCTACAGACCTGTACATAGAGAAACATGTGTCAAGGTCTTTGGATCTGACAACACCGGAAACAAACTAGTGTTGCTACAGAATGGCACAGACTTTCCCGTATTAGATTTCTATTTCCTTTGGTCTAGGTTAGCTATCCGAACTTGCCACATATTCTACATATTCTTGCCTGTTGCCATCTCTCGCCGCCCAAAGTAATTTTTTTGACATTTTCAAAATTTTTCGGTTTCCTAATTGTAGAGCGGAAATATTATTTAAGAACAGTAAAACGTCAACCTACATGGCAATTTCGTTTGAAAAGTTTGGAGCCGTTTAAGCGCTAAAGTAAATCCGAAATTTGAAGTTCTTTTTCACACAAAATTTTTGAGTTTTCGAGAAATTTAATTTGAAGTCATTTTACGTACATTAACTCACAAATACAAACAAATGTCTAGAAATGTGCATATCAACGGCGTGAGCGATCTTTCAAAACATTTACATTTGTGTAATTTCCGAAAAAATAAAAATAAAATATATCGAAATTAACTTTACGTCATATTTAAGACTGCTATCCGTTCGAAAAGTTTGAAGAAAAAGTTTGGAGCTGTTTTTGAGAAAATGGTGTTTGAGCGTTTTTGAAAACGCGTAGTTTTAAACTAGTTTTCACAGAAAACGGTAGTTTTCGAGAATCTTTATATGACATTATTTAAACCTTAGTACTCATAAATACAATAATGTGAACAAATTGCGAATTGTGAATAATATAAATATTAACAACATGAGAGACAAGTAAAAAAAATTGTAATTTTTGAAAAAAATAGAGCAATATGGCGTTTATGTCATCTTATACAGTACATTCAGCACTATCCCTACCAAACGTTTAAAGAAAAAACTTGGAATATTTTTGAGAAAATCTTGTTTTTGAATTTTTATTGCACATATTGCAAGCAATATTGTGCGAAAACTAAAATTTTCAAAAAAATATACATGACCCCAATGAAAAGACTCATTGTGGAGAACAAATTTCATTTGAAGGAAAAAATCTCTATCTTCAATTTTGTAGTTGTAGGAAGACGCCCGTAAATTTTTGAAATTTTCGAAAACTCAGTGGTAAACCTGAAAATCGGATCTATGCCATCTTTATAAGTGTATTTTAATCTATTCTTACAAGAAATTTAAGCAGTTTTTGAAAAAAAATTGAAAATGTTCGAGGCTTCATGTAAAGTACCCCCCATGTTTGAAGAATGTTTTTCAAAAGTTCGAAGTTTCGACTCGAGCCAGATAGAAAGGGGTTTCTTCAATTTGGAAAAAATTCAACGCATGGTATAGGCGCTAGTATTTTTCACAGAAACCAGGCGGACGGACGGGCGTTAAAAAAAAACCAACACTTTTTCGGTATCAGGGGACCCCAAAACGTGTATTTCCATTGAAATATCGAAATCGATTTTCCGCAGCATTACATAACTTACCCTATACTACGTATAGTATTCCGTATATACGTACGTATACGGTAAAATAAAATAATACAATTTTTCGAAAGTTTTTCGATTTAAAAAAATTGGAAGTTATAGGCGCAATTCTCATTTCAGAGTCTGTTGCAGCGCGTCGAAATATATAGAGAAAGAAGTGTCAAGTCTTTGATTCTGACAACTCCTGAAAAAAAAAGAAATGTTGCGATATTGTTTTGAGATTTAAAAAAATGGATGGTGACGGGGCAATTCTGGGCTCAGATTCAGTGCTTTGAAATACATAGAGAATCATGTGTGAAGCTTTGGGTCTGACAACGTTTTTCTATGTGCTTGTGTAATTTATTGCTAATTAATTGCCACAATTCCGAATTTGTTGCCAGTTTTTTTCCTCGAGGAAACAAGTGTAAACTTATTTGACGAGATGCTATCACACAAAAAAGTTTTATTTGATCCGTAGCTAGATGGAAGGGGCTCGAGAATTTATTGCTAATTAATGGCCACAATTTAGATTTAGTCACCTTTTATCACAATGAACAATCAGGTCTGCTGGCTTGTCGGTTCACATGCAAAAACCTTCCTCCACACGTTTCTAGTCAAAACACATCCACACAAAGGATACCATAATAATCAACACATTAATGGGCATTATTAACTCTACGTAATATGCAACTGTTTTGCTTCGGAATGGTTTCTTTGCTAATATCTAAACTAGAATAAAGGCAGAAATAATTTTCATACCTACAGAGCAAAATATTTTTAATAAATAGTTTGGGGATTTCATAACGAAAAATACTTATGCATAAGGCCGAGAATGAGCGCGCGGAACACCTCCTCCGTATTCTGACACAGCACTACCTCGCATAGCGTGTTTCCATTAGTCATATAATCGAGTTCCCTTTATTTTTACGATTTCAATAACAACCAGAAGGAATTACAGACCGTTAGAATACTTAAGCGATGAAAATTGGCTAGCGAAATTTGAAAGTGAGCGCAGCGCTCAACCCTTGAATTACAGAGCGTTAAAATAAGTGTGATTATATGAAAATTTGTACACATCTGCATTCTGGAGGGTAAATAATAATGCTTATTTTATAGTCCAAACTTTTTCTTCGTAATTATCATGTAAGGGGGTTAATTTAAACTAGTCTGTTTAACGTGAATTGTGGCAATTTTTAGCAATAAATTTAATGCAATTTCTATACAGCCACAGGTTGAATTTAACTTGTGTCTGCTGGCATCACACCAGGGCAATAAATTCACAAGCGTGGTAATGAATTAGCAATAAAATAGTTTTTTATGCGATTGTGCTGGCATGGCTGTTCCAGCTTGTCACGGCCTATTTTGACGGCAATGTGCTGAATAAATAATAGCGCAATTCTTTTGACTTAAAATATTTGGAACTAGCTCTTAGAACTACTAAAAAATCTACTATTGTAGTTAAAGAAAGAAGTACATTCCTTTCCATGACATACCTGAAACAACCTGCGTACGTCACGTCACTTGTACCAAACGCCTATGCATGTACCTAGCGATTGAGCATATTCAAACCGATCTTATAAGTGGAATAGTCAAGAAATTGCAGCGTGCTTCATTCTCTTCTTTAGGAAAGCATTCGTTTGCAGTGTTGTTCTTTGGACCTTACGAGCGTTTAATATATTTTTAATTGCCTCCTTTACAATTACATTCAATACAAATATGACATTGAAATACATACCTTCCCGCATACCTGCCCTAAAAGCAGCGCCATCGTAGTCGACATAATCAACATAAGTTATCATTTCTATCTCCTGTTCTTTCTTGTAGTGTATTCCATAACTCTGAAACATTGTAATTGAACATACTTCAAATCATATCAAGAAATTAACAAAATTCTTTCTATATCGCATCGCAATAGTTACAACTATCAGTTGAGCCTTTTAAGTTGGATGTCGACAACTACCAAGATTTTTCGATTTTCTCAGTCCCTTTTACCGTCCCTACTCATGTCGCGGCCTCAGAATGACAAAGTTCTATCCAAGTTTGAGGAAATTTTGCAGAAGTCTCATTTTGAAAGTTGGGAAGTGACTAGTGAGGATAAACACAAGTTTTATACAAGCCTCATTTGAAAAATGTTTTAAGATGTTGATTTGACATTAGAGAGTTCGAACACGCGAAAATATCGTTTTCACCAAAAATTTCAGAAAAACTCTTGTCATTCTGAGCCCGCGATCTGTTAACGTTTCGTCACAAATAATATATTACGAGGAATGAGCATCGACATTGAGCAAGATCTTTTAACGAGATAAGCGACTGGGTTTCAGGCTAGTGTTAAATTCAGCTCGGACACCTACAAATCCGTCATTATACAGCTGACTTTCATGACCCCTAAATTTTCAAGTTGTCTCATTATCTAATTGTAGAAATTTTCCAATGAAAACGAAGGCCAACATTTACTAGAGCATCAATCTGCTACCGCCAAAATGTGACCTGCGTCATTTGCTCCATCAGTGGAAGAAATTCAAAGAAAACATTTTGGAGCAGTTATTAAAAGAAAAATTTAGAAATGGCATTAACTTCGCGCAAAGATTACGCGAAAACTACTTGTTCATTCAAAAAAGTGACCTTCTTTGGAGTTTTCATTTTTTTGAACACATTTACTTCACGGCAAATCTCTACCATCAATATTGTACTTTTGCAATGTTAATTTTTTGCATTTAAAAAAAATAGTGAACGCTTGTAATGCTTCGTGGGCGGTTACCTGCAGCGTAAAGCCGAACGATCCATTCTTCTTCTCGACGATGATGGTGCGGCGCCTCCGATCTTCCTCCGGTTTTGAAGCCGTCATGCGATCGGGCTTCATGCGATCCAGTATCTGCGCCTGAAGTTCCAAAGATATCCATTAATTGCGAGGTGGAGAACAAATTCATAAGTTCGCTAAGACAAAGAAAACGTCTTAACTTAATAATAATTTACTATTGTTCCGTCATAACTCGAAATCTGTAATGTTAACTACTTTTTTACAATAACCTATCGTGGAAATTAATATTTAATAGTTAGAACTATAATCCCCTAAATCAGGGAAAAACAGATGACAGAAATTATTTGTTCACAACTAATTTAAAATCGTTTTAACACACAGCAATAGTCGATACTGCAGTAATCTGACACTAAGAGTAAGATTTAAGACTTTTATTTTGCCGTACGATGTTTCGGTTCAGTAGTGATGGCACCTTTAGGCCATTTGCTAGTCCTCCAGTTAGAGGGAATGAGCGAATGACGGCCAGTGTCAGTCGAGAAAACGCTCTCGTCCTGTGCGTGGCGTTGCAGCAGGGGTGAGGAAGACAACGGCAGAGACGAATAACAGAAATAGTGTAATAAATAGGGGGCCATTTTAATGAAATGTCATTTTTTCTTTGCAATTACTAACAATGCCTGTTAATGTAAACATTAATTTTGTTATAACAAAAGGAAATTACCCATCTTTATTACTTTTGTTTTCTTTTTGTTTTTGCATTTTCGTCAATTTCAACTAATAAGTTATGTTTTAAATTTTCCCGTAATTTTTAAAGCATTAAAGAAATTCTCAGAAATTGTAATGTCAGCTGTTGTAAGTATGTAATATCAGGTTCCTGTAACGCTATGACGTCTATCAGCGCCACTGTCGGCTCGACCGGTTTCGCGATAACTAAAGGCAGTGATTTCCTGGTAAAGAACCGTTCAAATTAAAAGTCTGCAAGCTGTGTTCACTTTAACGAAAAAATCCTCTATTGCATCAGTAACATATCAAAAAAAACTTGAGTTGCTCATCTGACCGGTTTTGACTACATTGTTAACGAAATTTTTCTTTGCTTTTAGAGTATTTTTAAAACATTTTAAGCATATTTTTGGCAGTGTTTTGTCATCGAAATCCGCCCCGTAGTAATAATCATTCAGTACACATCTGGTAGGCACTGAATATAAACAGCGACATGATACAGTGGCCAAAATTTTACATCAAGCGTTGGCTCAGAAATGTTGTCTTCTGACTGAAGAAAAGGTACCGTACTTTTAAGTACCAACCTGTGAGTGTACTGGAGAACGAAGAGTGGCGCTTGTATTGGGATAAAACTATATTAAAGAACCAGACAATGATTCAAAACAGACCAGTTCTGGTGGTGATTAACAAGTGTGAGAGATATGTCATGCTTGTTGATGTTTCTATCCCAAATATAGGTAACGTTGAAAGTAAATACACTGAGAAAATGAGTAAATATGTGTATTTTGTTGAATTCGTTAAGAAACAGTGGAATATGGAAAGAGTCAACATCGTCCCGATAATTGTTTCAAGTACCGGAGTCATCCCTAAGTGTCTGATGCGGAATATCAAGCAGCTAGGTTTGAATGAAGACATATACAAACTTATGCAGAAAGCAGTAATTATCTCAACAACAAGGATAGTCCGGAAATGCATGGGAAATGATGTACAATGAATTCTTTTAAAAATAGATGTATTGTGCTTTGATTTTGTAAATCTGTACAATAATCCATGTACCACTGAAATGAGAATAAAACAAACAATAATATTTATTGAGACAAGCATATAATTTCAAGTCAAATATGTCAAGAGTCAAATATGATCTTCGTGGAGGGACTACAATTGCGCACATATTTTTGAGAACAGAATGTAAAGTTACATTTACTGCCCAGAAGAAAATACAAGAGGCCATTTTAGCATTTGCTGAAAGGACAGGGGAAACTGAACCACAACCTGGGAATGAATTGGGCTCCAATAGTCAATGGCGCCCATGGAAAATAATTTAAAACCGAAATATAGATTCTAAATTTATTTTGTGGTTGATACATCCGCAATCTTTGTTTACAACTAGGTGTTGGGTAAAATTAGTATTGAACACCATTTGAATGACGTTTAAGAATTTTTACACATAAACGTAAGGAAACTTGTAGACTTCAAAATATACATTTTAAGTATCGTAATTGATGCAATTAAATTTGAAATACGAGAATGAATTAACTTTGCGTGATCATGACGAAAGTGAAGTGTCAAATAGTCCAGGTATCTTCAACTCTTGAAAACGTTTTTTGTAATCATTTGGAAAATGCAAAATCAATGAAAATTCAAAACGATATACTGGTTGATATTTTCAAAATTTGTCAAAAATGTATTACACGTGAAATAAATAATACAAAATACATCTCTATACAAGCTGATGAAACAACAGACACTTCAAGCAAAACACAAATGTCATTAATTTTATAGTATCAGTTTGAAGGAAACAATCACGATCGGTTCTGAGACTTTTTTCAAGTGATTCAGAGGTTCTAATGGTTTTTCTAGCAGGATTACGGAGCAGTATTAAGAAGACACGTCAAAAACTTATTTACCAAACCTATGATAGGACTACTATCGTGAGGGGGCAAAATAAAGAGTGCGCAGCATTTGATAAAAGAAAATTATTCAAATGCAAATTACGGTCATTGTTATGTTCATCGAGTGAATTTTTGACTTCAGAATGGAACATTTTCCTGTTCTCAAAGCAGGGCATTTTTTTCAAGATCTTCAAGGAATTGGATTTTTTTTCGTGATCTCCGAAAAGAATGCACTGCTTGACATAAATTGTTCAAAATAAACTATGTTCAGCTCCACCATCAATAGGGTACTTTTGGCCCAAATGTGTGAAAACTGTGTACGAATATAGATGTAGTCTCATTAAAATGTTTTGTTTTTTTTACGTTCGGGACAACTGTCAGGAGGATTTTAAAGCAAGTGGACAAGCCGCGGGAATTGTAAGTACCTTGAAATATTCAGATTTTGTGTTTCGGTTTACTTTCTACAGTTTTATTATGCTATTAAAACCATGCTTCGTGAAAACATAAATGTAACTTGATGCAAAATAATATCTAATATAATGCATCCAGAAGTGTAGGAGTATTTTGTAAACTCTTGTCAAGAATCATGTGGTTATTATATATCTTATTTTAAAAATACTGCTGTGGAAATCAATGAGAAAACTTTCAATTCCATCGGTCTCTTATTTCTGTACGTATTGTATGTATTGGTCTGTGTGGTGCAACACAAGCAATAATCTATTCTTGTGTTATATCTAATACAGCAATAACAAAGCCTAAATTATCATTCTGTTATCAATTTTAATTAGTTAATTACCTGAATTTGAGAAAGATCCACGACATTCAATTTTCTTTTGCAATTACACATTTGGGAACGCTAGATGTTAGTGATGATGATAGAGTATATCTGTTATCTAAATCCTCTCTGATATCCCTGGTACCTAACCCAGTAATAGGTTCTTGTTACGAGTGGTTGTATATTTTTAGTTACAGTTTCCAATCAAAATGGTAAGCTTTTAGCGTAATCTGCCAAAAACGTGCCACAATTTTGTATATTGGAGAACGATTATTGTTAAAATCACAAGGTAGATATATAACATAAGTGAAGAAAGCTTGTTTCTGATAGCAAACTTAGGGATCAGGATAAAATTTACGCTCCACATGTACTTCTATACTGTGTAAATTGCAATGGGACCTATCATATGGATGTGACCCTACCAATCATGAATAAGATAGCCACTTCTGCCTTGAGCGATATTTTTAGAAATATGTTAAACTTCATACCCAATTAGACCATCTGCTCTCCGCAGTAGGCTTAGCAATACTAACTTTCCCATTGAACTGGAAACATTAACATCCAGGAAGTCAGTGATATTGATAACACGCAATCTGATGAAAATTATATTCCTCAAAACACTTGTGACTATCTATAAACATCAGACACTCAATGAAACTCATTTTATTCACCAATACGAACTCAATGATTTGGCGGAGATCTATGGATATCGAAGCAAAATACTGAACGTCCTCAGCTTTAGATTGCTAGATTGCAAGAGTGGAATCTACTGGCAATCCGAACAAGCATTACATCCTTCGGAAAAATAATTGTAATTTACTCAAGGTTTTACAGAATTGAAGGTATTTTTGTACAGGTTTCAATAAAGACAATTAACTGAAGTATAAATAGACATTAACTTTTGCGAAGATAAAAAAGGTTTCAATTGGAAAATAAAAAGTAAGTAAAAACTAAAAAAGGACGTGTCCAATTAAAATAGGGTTTGGCAGAAAAGACCCAGATGAACACTTTATAATCTCCAACTAAATGCCATATATTTCGCATTATCTTATTTTCTCAGGTAAGGCTATAGAAGCTAGTCTCTCCCAAAAACCTTGCAGAAAGACGATTCGTCAATTCTAAGTATCTCCGCTAGAGAGCCAGCAAGATGGTGCCTTTGGCGGGTCTCGTATTTTCCCATAGTGCAAGAGAACACGCTCCACGGTGAGATTTTTGCAGTAATCGCATGTAGCGGGTGGGTCCTCGCAGAGAAGATATCCGTGGGAGAAATGGGAGTAGCCGATCCGAAAGCGTATTAGCATAATATAATCGCGCCTAACACTACGAGATGATAAAGATCATGGATTTATGGAATGGGCGGGCTAGATCGGGCGGCCAGCGTTGAATTCTGACTCCTTGAGATGGGCAACTGGGATCTGGAGATAAGTTTTGGACCACGTTTCGTTGGCGCACAAATTTGGGTAATTGTTGCATTTGATGTTTTCTCGGGCTTGATTACCGACGGAGCAGTAGAGTTATTAATTTGAGTCAATTCTTCAAAGGACACCTGACAAACTGTGTCGCACACATGGTAAAGTTTCGGTTTGGCAGCTCGATGTTTCCTTCGTAGGCTTCATCACTGTTTGGAGAAAGATCGAGGGAGGTCTACAGGGTTTCTCGCCAAGTAACGGCGTTTGGCCTCCACACAGGACACCTCGCTCACTCGAATCTTCTGGATCTCTCTCCTTTAAAACGGT